TAATGCTACTAATATTAGCTAATGTTCAACCTAATTGCTATGTTCCATAAATTCCACTATCTGACCTATTCTGGCAACTGGGATATTAACAGAGAATTGATATAAAAAACAATGAGTTTGCGGGCAGAAGCAGTCTTAGTGCGCACACTTTCTACAACTTTTAAACAGCGTTTTCATGCGTACACTCCAAGCAAGGCTGTAAGACCGTAAATATTGTTCAAAAAATGTCACTTTTTACATGGCCCACCAGTCTAAGTGGGCAAAATTTTTAGGTCCTGGTTCCAAAGCCTTGCCCACCCCTGTTTTAGAGCCTTCAAATATAGTAGCACCTCGTATATATTAGTATACAATGCTTGTACATGGCCTTGTTTAAAGCAAGACACCCAAATAAGCACTATATAAGAAGAAACAGACAGTTTTGCCACTATGTATTTCGATTTTTCCCCACCCTGGGTAAAGGGATGGGTGTGGGGTTTACAATTGGGGGTCTTTACCCAGCATAGGTAAATCCAACGAATCACTAATAACAAATAGGGTTGTGCTATTCAAATTGTAAATTATTAGGTTCAGACAAAATTTTCAAATCACCACCATCTTTGTTTTTTGTTTGTCCGCCAAAGGCCAAGCTTTTTTTGTGAAGCCCTTTACAATTTTTTTTCGATTCTCGCTAAGTCTGAGGCCAGTCCAAAACATGATTCCTTATATTTTTGAAATAAATTTCCTATATAAGACTTTTTTTTTCCTTGTAAGTTATTGATGAGACATGTTTTTATTGTGCGTGAACACCTGTTGAAGGGCGCTCCAGAAGTATCTGTACCAATAAGGAGGTAACTAATTTTTTTCGCCTACTTTACATCAAGTTGTGTAAAGGGACTGAAACCTATGGACAGGGGTTATATTCACTTGGCTAACACAAACGGTCCCCGAACTCACAATAGAACTAAAATAGGAAAAATTGGAATAAAATTATGGTCTAACCTGGTACACACACTACGAGAGTAACCGTTGAAGTAACTGAGAGATGGATTCTATATTTCAGTAACTTGTGTGTTTGGACAAGTAATTAAATTACAATAAAAATTTTGTATACAATTAATTATGTTGTCATATTATTTTTATTAGATTCTGAAATTATCAGGTAATCAAAAATTCCCGGTACTCCTATCGTACGTATGTGTACGAGGTTAGGCTGTAGGTTTTTCAATTTTTATATCTCAGTTGTATTACAAGTTCGGGGACTGTCTGTGTTAGCCGAGTGAATCTACCAGCCCATAGGTTTCAGTCCTTTTACACAACTTTATGTAAAAAAGGCGAACAAAATTAGTTACCTTCATATTGGTACACATACTTCTGGAGCACCAAATGCCCAGCACCATCGCTACTCAGTAACTCAATCTTCCAAGCTCAAGATGGCACCACGACAGTTTTTGCAACAATATATAAAGATTTTGATTATGTAGTTGTATTGATTAAAATATATTTGGGGTGTGAATTAGGTATTCAAATATGCCAAGCCCTAACCCCGGTCAAGTCAACCTTGAAGTGTTCCCCGCCCCAATTATGTCATTGTTTGTTTGTTTATTGTTACTGCAATATGTACTTATATGGATACTCCCGTAGTATGTGTACCATGTTAGGCCATAAGTTTATTCCGATTTTCCTTATTTTAGTTTTATTTTAGACTTCGAGGACTGTCTGTATTAGCCAAGTGAATATGCCCTCATCTGACCGCAACCTGTCACTAATCTCTGTTACTCAAAACTACAAACAATATTTGCAACTATAATTTTATTCGCCACCCTGGGTAAAGCGATGGGCATCAGCAGGGGTGTATTCAGGCGGGGGGTTTACCCCCCGTTTGAAAAAAAAGCATTTTTCTGTATCATATATAGCAATTTTTCGTAGCTTGAAAAACTGTTTAGATCCGCAAGACTCTTGAAACCCTATGTTTTCCCGCCGGCCGCTAGCTCTTGTGGGCCGACTTAGCAATTTAAAGTTTCAGACCCCTCTCTAAGGTATGCAGTATGCAAACCATGATGGCGGACACGGGAACGTAGTATGTGTACCAGGCTAGGCCATAAATTTAGGTACAAATACTATGGCAGTCACTTGGCTAATCCCCGAACTCGTGATGTAACTAAAATGAGGAAAATTGACCCAGGTACACATACTACGTTCCGGCGTCCACCATCTGGTGCGCATACTTCAGCGAGTAAGTACCATTTGAAAATTCCTTGATACCCCCCAGGGCATCAGGTTTCGCACTTGAGTCCTTCTTACCAACACTCCTAACTGCAAGCGGTCCCTGAACCTAATAATCAGACGCCAAGCTCCAGGCTAACGAGACCATTGCAACAATATATATAGGTTTATTCACCCAAATTATTAATAACAAAAATAATAAGTATCTCTGTAATCGACAACTTCATGACAAAAATATTCTTGGGAGAAAAATGAAGTTCCAGTTGTGAGTTGGAGTTAGTCTTGAGTATGGGTATTAAAATCATTCAGAGTGGGAGGCTGGATAATGAGAATAGCGGGTTTATTGGATGAACTAGAGGTAGAAAATTTTAAAGTGTTGATAATTGAACTTGAGCATATATTTTCAAGCGAAAAATGAATATCCATTATGGCTTGCAGATACCTTTTCACTCACGGTACTTTCAGCCTTATTTGATCTTGTATACACTTTAATGTTGAAATGCCATATTTTTACTCCATTGACCAAAATTTTGAAATAGAGGGTGTCCATGAAGTCTTGAAACTTCTTGAAATTGCACAGGGTATTGTTGTTTTTGCCCTCAGATGTATTTAAATGAAGTAAAAATACTGATTAAAAATTAACAAACCCGGTTAAGATATATTAGGAACCGACTTTTTGGACACCCTGTACAATGATTGATCCCCGATGTTTTTCATATTGTATTACTGTTGGTTAAAAGTTTTTTAAAAAGCAGGGAAATTCAAAGTGAATTTTAAATTTAACTGTTTTAGAAAGCACTAGCGAATTTTTGTCACTGTTCAAATACTTGTGTCGCATGACTAGAAAATTTCAGCATTACTTATATTCTGGGCATTCATTGATTCTCCTGAGAAGAAATGCAGCCTCGCAGGCAGAAATGAAATAATTATAGAGAGAAATTGGAAGATTTGTGCAGTCAGTTTGCAATAGCCTCCTACTAATCCGAACTTCTGACCACCGCTGATAAATTGGTACCCTTTTCAAAAAAGACAAATATTAACAATTCATATGCCGAAATTCCCCTTTTTGTCAAACTTGAATTCGGAAACGCCTGTATGATGTTTTCAGTTCATTTAACTTTTTTGTCAACATTAAAATTAAGCTGTATAAAATAATTGCTTTGTTCAAGTTAAATGAAGCCTTTTGGACAGACTGTCAGGAAATACATGGAAAGTAGAAAACACTGAATTTGGAAGAAAAGAACTGGATCAAGGAATCCAGGAAACTTGTGAATATCCAGGATAAGGAGAAGAGGAAAGAGCGACGATTCTAAAGAAAAGAATGAAAATAGATTGAATTCAAGGAATTCATATTTTTTTTCCATGTTTTCAACCCCCATCCTGCAGGGTCTGCAAATGCAATTTGAACACATAGTAGATGATGTGTATAAAAGGATGCCACTTTCATATGCGATATCAGTGTCGTAAAACTACTTTCTTTCGTTGCACAATTGTGCAAATACAATTTGAGAATTTCAGGTTAGATAGAAATGGCCAAATACAAGATACGTTCATATTTGAGTCATGTACAACACATAATGACATAGCAGTCAATATATAGGGTGTCCATAAAGTCATAAAAAAATTCTAAAACTGTGAACGGAATTTAATCGATACCATATATTGTTTTGGCCCTCACAGATGTATTATTAAATGAAGTTAAATTCAACAATTATAGATTAAAAAACAACAAACCTGGTTAAGATATATTGATAACTAGGTGCTCCCGAAGTATGCGAACCAAGATGGCGGACATGGGTAACAGGTTTTTTTTCCAATTTTCCTTATTTTAGTCCTATTATCAGTTCGAAGGCACTAGCCAAGAGCCTCCCGTAGTATTTATACCTGAAAATAATGGCCTAACCCTAACCTAGTACACATATTACATTCCGATGTCCGCCATCTTGGTTCGCATACTTCGGGAGCCCCGATAACTGACTTCAGAACAAAATGGAAACTGAAAAGGGATTTCACCCTGTATATATATTGAAGGGTGTCCCTTTGGTATGTGATCTCAGTGTCATAGAACAACTCTGGTACAAGATCGCAAACTATGGACACCCCTATATATTGAAAGATGTCACTTCGTTATGTGATCTCAGTGTTACAGAACTACCCTTGGTACGAGATTGCAAACACCAATTGTGATACTACTTTGACATGCTTTTAATCTCATAAAGACATTATCATAGAATCCAGTTCCTAACTCTGTCATGTTTGGGCAAAACAATATCATGGAGATCAAACACCAAAGTTTGAATTTGGAAATGCAGGAAAGTTGTGATGAAAAACAGAGATTTGGTTAGTTCTTTATTTTTCATAGTCGCCAGGAAGAAACGCTTTTCTGTTCAGTAAGAATACTTTACAGATAACTATTGCGAAATATTCCTAGAATGAACGATTTCAGACAAATCATACGAGATAGATGTTTTGGGCAAGAGCGTAGCCAGCCCCAAATTTTTTTTTGGGGGGGATGGGGGAGCAAATTATTATTTGCATAATGATGTCATATGATGTTTAATGCATAATGATGTCATATGATGTTTAATGCCTTAATATTGAAATATGGTGGGGGGGGGGGGGGTCGTATGGCCCCGTCAGACCCCCCTGACTACGCTGATGGTTCTGGGAAAGGAAAATGTTGTTAAAATAAGCTTATGAAGTGGGGTCATTTAACGAAACAAAATTTTTAGGGGAACCCACTATCTTGTATCCACATTCTACCACACACATATCATTTTAACTCGGAAACCAAAGTTAGTACGGTAATATTTGGTTGTATTATAATGGGTTTTTCAAACAGCAAATGCCGCAACATTATCATATTATAGTTAGTAATAGATTTCATAATTACAATTCCCTAAAATATAAGAAATCAACAAAAAACACAATGAGAAGAAAAATATTAAAAATGCAGGTGCCATATTGTAAAAAAAACACAATTCCGACATTTATTCGTCCATGTGGCACATTTCTCATGCCATGAGGCACCAAGTGAATGCCACAATGCATCATGTCGAAGCCACTTCAAACTCAGGCAATGAAAGTCATATCAGGCTCTGGATATCTGTAAACAATTTTGTTCGGTTCAAAGGTCATGGTTCAAAGTTCACGAATGAGGGAAACCAATGATAACTGAAAATCATGATAACATGCAACAAAAGCAGCGAAAAATAATTATTTCGTTTTAAAACAACTTAATTATATAAACAAAAAAATATTCGCAAATTGATTAAATTGCATTTTCCCAAATTAGGAGTCATTTTGTAAAGACAAGTATTGCTATTTTGTGTTTTTAGCTAAATAGGAATAATGACATTTATATGAGAACTTCCGGTAAGTCTCCAAACCGATAAAACTTAAAAATCAGAGTCAAAAATTTGGACTAAAATTAAAAAAGGTTCCACACAGGGCCGGGGAGACAGGAGTCGTGGCATTTCGTTGAAGATGGGGCTCACCATGTTACTAGCTATATTGTTGGAATGTATCAATAAAATGATTATGACAAAACAATAAATGTAACATGCCAACAAATCAACAAAAGAACATTCAGATGAGGGGGAGAAGCTCCTAATTTGAATTTGTACCTTTTTTTGAAAAATCAATTCTTTTCTATGTGGTTTGGTCAACATAATTATGAAACTTGGAATTCAATGAAAAAACTGAGTTGGTAAAAAACTAATATCTTATGATGGCCATTGATCAATGGACCTTTCCCCGACCTTTGAACCCGAAAAATTCTTCTTATACTTTACCATTGCAAAATTTTCGGGGCTCATTTTAAGAGTGGTTACGCGAGTTGGCCCCTGTAAAATGGGGTATTTGTTTCAAACCATTATTATGATTCATCGCGTACAATGAACAATTTTTCAAAAGTACCGGTAAGAAATTTTAGACTAGTCTATTACAGCTAGTTCTACACCAATTCTCTATTACTGCGAATAAATTAAAGCTTCTAAAAAGACATAGTGATCGTTGAATTATCTGATTTATATTTAAATTTCCAAAACACAACTGAAAACTAACGAATAGAGTTCAAAAACGTGAAAACGAGGTGATGTTCACAATCACGCCTGAAAATCTGCCTGAGCGGATGTGAAAAGTGGGCATTGTTACGTCATTTGCTGATTGGCCAATGTCACGAAGAAAGTCGATGCTCGGGGAAAGGTCCATAACTTGAAAGTTTCATATTTTTGAATTTTGCAATTTGCAACTGATGAATGAATATACATTAGCCAACATAATCATAAAACTTTGAATTCATTGAGAAAAATTGGGGTTGTTAAAAAACGAATGCAAAATATACATGATAGCCCTGATCAATATGCAACGGCATGAGAAAATGGCTCTATTACCCTAATTAAGGATGCCGAAATCCTGAAAGTTTTGTATTTAATTAGGAATTTTAATTTGCAACTGATGAATAAATAGACATTTACCAACACAATTATAAAACTTGGAATTCATCGAAAATAACTTGAGTTGCCATAAAACTAATGCAGTCTGCAAAAGCGTGAGGAAATGGCTCTATTATCTTTAATTAGGGATGCCAATATCATAAAAGTATTAACTTCTAGAATTCTGATTTGCGACTGATGAATGAATAGATATATCCGCATTAAGTCGAATGTGCAGTTTTCTCCAAATAACCTTCTGGACTAACATACTTTGACACTTACACTACACTTATTCCACACATTTCACTTGAAAAAGAAAAAAAAAGACTATTTCTAATGATAAATTTGAAATAAAATATGGGATAGATATATTGTAGCAGCATGTAAACAAATATTTTGACACAGCATGTAGTAGCACATCACATATATGTCCATGTAGCAAGCGTGTCTGCAAGACGATGCTGATCGGAGTCTAGTCTGTAGTCATGACAACATGCAACAACACAAATAAAATGTTAAAACAAATAAAAAATGAAATGAATTTAAAAACATCTTGAGCCGGACATGCTCCAAACATAAACCATGCTTAAATGGTATAAAGCATAATTGGCTCAAGCTTGGTCATATAATAATAAAGAAATAAGTACTCTCGAAGTATGTGAACCAAGATGGCAGACACTGGAACATAGTATGCGTACCAGGTTAGGGTTAGGCCATAATTTTATTCCAATTTTTCTTATTTTAGTTTTATTACGAGTTCGGGGACTAGCCAAGTGACTCCCGTAGTATTTGTACCCAAAATTAAGGCCTAACCTGGTACACATACTACGTTCCAGTATCCGTCATCTTGGTTCACATACTTCGGGAGTACCAAGAAATATTCCTCAATGGCTAAAAATTGGAAATTAATGTAAATTCATGATAAAATCAAAAGACCAAGTCTCAAAAACTAAAAAATGACAGGTTTTCCAAATTCATCCGATTAAAGCAGCATAAGCCAAATCATAAAATAGGGAAAGATCAATGAAAACAATTTTTCTCTTTTCTATTTCATTAAAATTATGGCAAGTAAAATTTTTGGTTAATTGATCATTATTACATCACTATTGACAAACTGTGATAAAACAATGGCAGTATAAAATTGATAATTGTGAAACGATAAAATCACTCTTGTGATATCACCAACAATATATTGTGACAGAACAATTCAACTTGTATGACAAAACAAAACGTCCGTGCATCCCACGTCAACATCAAAAATGAGAGAGACAGAGAATAGGAGAGAGGTCACGCATGGTTAGCTCTTCATGCTTTGGTTAAATAACTAAAAAGAAACATGCAAAATGAAAATAATCAAAAGAACACAATGATTAAATCTATGAACATATTTCAGTGAAGTTTCTTAAATGTTTACTCCAAACAAGGCACTTCACAATAGGGGTATGTATGGGACAGGATTTTCATATTAATATGGGAGAGAGAATAGCCGATAAGACGGCTTTATCATATGGGTAGCTATTGCTTTATATAAATAGCCTATATTTGAATTTGTGTATCCTTGCCTTAGCATGGAGTACAGCAATCCTACCACCCATGAATTCGACCCAAAAACCCTTACAATCAGAAGCAGTGACCCTAACCCAGGGAGAGGGGCAAATTACAGCCTGCGGGCTGGATGCGGCCCTCCGAACTGTTTCATTCGGCCCACTTGTGTCTGCTGAGATTACGACTAGTTTTTATGGGTACTCCTGAAGTATGCGCACCAAGATGTCACACAACCTGAACCCTAACCTTGTACACAACCTGAGTTCAGATTGTGCGCCATCTTGGTGCGCATACTTCAGGCGGTCTTTTTTATGGATATATATTATGGATTATAAAATTTTGTTGAAAATATCGATAAAAATAATGCCATAATGTCTAGCTTTCGCAAATAAACTGTTATTTAGTCATATCGAATTTTGAGCCGAATTTTATGCTTTGTAACGACATCACAAAAGTAATTGTCCACCCATGGCCGGAACCATGAGTCAAGTAAACCACGAAGTTAAGCCTCACTGATAGCCAATTGATCAGCCCTAGCCAGTAGCCATCCCATTTAGATGACTCAAGTAATTTCAAGTCTTTGATAAATGATAACTAAAGTCGAGTCGATGGTGGAGCCTCCTCAATACTGATTAGACGGAAAATGTTTGAAATTCCATTAACACTGAAATATGGAGATTTATACCAAGAGAAACCTCATTTTGCAATATTTCTTGAAGTGGGTTACTACCAAAGTTAATACCTAAGATTTTTACCAAGTTAGTTAGTTGAATGTGGTAAATGTTAATCAGCAGGCAATAACTTACTTTTTGCATCAAATATAGAGGTCTGGTATCTGGATTTATTTGACGGATAATTTGCATATTTATGAATTTATAAATTTTGTTTTGGAGTAAAACTTGGAATATATGTTCTAACGCAAATTCCAGGGTGATTTAGCCTACATCACTAAAGTGTCGCAAAATTTTCTCTCACAGAAAACACAGGAGTTTGGGTTGAATTTTGTCTCTGTGGTATATTCCACAGATCGAAATCAATTTTTTAAAATAAATTGCTGAGTTTACCACACAGATTCAGGATAACCAAATCTGAGTAACAGATACCTATATTGATTTATGTTGGTGTATGCAAGTACCAAAATATTTAATTTGACCGAACCAAAACGAAGAAAACATAACTTAACAAAAACGAAATCAGCATTCCGCAACCAAATGTGAAACCATGAACTGAACACCGAACTTAAGACAAAAAATTCAAAACGAAAATGGTACTGTTATTGCCCGCCATTTTTTCTGAACTGTTTCTTTGATTGTTTATATCAGCTCAGGACAGGTTTGTATTATACTGGGTGTCGGAAATATTTTATAGTGATACCTATTAAAAAATTTCTTTGTATTTGTTTATAAATAGTTCTTATTGTGCTTGTAGTTTTCATTTATCATACATTAAAATCATTGCCCGAAAAATGTCGCCTGATTTATAGTGATACCAATTGTAAGTTTAAATAAATTTTATTGTATGATAAATTAGAACTATAAGCACAATAAGGACTACTGTATTAATAAACAAGGACAAAGAAATTTTTATTTGGTATTTTTATGATTATTTTTGTCATTTCACAGAACAGAATAAAAAAACAAATACCAAAAAAGTGGCGGGGCAATAACAGTACCATGACCAAATATGAATGAGAATAAAAAACATTAAAAAAATTTATGGAAAATTATCTTACCTTCTGCTCGTTTTCATGATGATACATGAAAATTAAAAAAAAAATAGATTAGTTTGAGGGTATTGGGATATTAAGATATTTATCAGTAATGAACCATTAACATTAATTATCAATGAAAATAAAAAAATTGCGGAGCAAAAAATAAAAACTGATAAATTTAAAATAAAAAGAAGATGAAATAAAGCAGTGGACACCAAAGTTGATTTGACTAAATTAAGAGCAGAAGAATATTCGAGGGCCAAGAGGGGGGAGTGCCCGCAAAAGGCCGATACCGGTACGTATGATTAAGATACTTGTATATTTGAATTGTTACGAATATACATAAGTATAAACTGTGATAATGACATAACAATTGGCCGCTGCGGTAGAGGGTGAGGTTCTTCATTTTTGTCTACTTCCAATTTCGTATTCGAATGTGGCCATTGCTACAAGAGTGCTTGAACAAAGTCTCCATGAAATAATGGCATCGTTCACTTTTGATTGAATATTATTTAATTTCGTATGAGGAATTCAGAGACAGGGGTTCCTACCCCCCCCCCCCCCCCCCCCCCCCAAGAGAGCCACAGAGAAGTTGAAGGGGGGCCAAAATGTAGGGCACAAAACTTATTTTACTTTTTTCTTCTTGAAAATTCCCCGTTCTTCCTGGTTTCATTGCTTGATAAGGTTATTTCATAGAGTGTTTTAACTTTGTTGAGCATGAATTGTTTGAACATAATAGCATTTGGAATCTATCAATCAATTTACCACTTCACTTGAATGATAATAAGGGGGCCATAAGTGCAAAAAGCCTAAGAAAGGGGGCCACGAGTCATAAAGGGTTGAAAACACGCAGAGTTAGACTATGATCTAACAAATATTTTTCAAGAAGTTCATTTATATCATGCCGTGCCATTTAGATAGGTACATGGTTCTAATGTTAGTTAGGTAAAGAGAGAGTTTGAGAAATACACAGAGCCTTTCAACAAGATGGCGGCGATTCAAATTTCACGTCTGAACTAATTTGAATGATTTACTATCCGATTTGACTCGAATATTCGATTCGAAATGCCCAGCCCTGGCCCGTACAGAGCCTTTTTCAGAGTAATAAAATTACAACTATTCTACACCGATACCTACTACCCACTACGTGCTACTTCACCCAACTACTGATTCTATTTACCATCGAGAAGTGACAATTGAGCTAAAATATGGCAACAGAGAAAAGATGGTTAGTGTTGCATTATGGGAAATATATGCATTATGGGTAGAAAAGAGACTTTGCATGAAGAGCTATTTTGATTATAAAATGATAATATAAAAGCAAGTAAAACATTCAAGAGAATAGCACAGTAATTGGATCTAATTTTTTTCCTAGCTGTTTTCCAGGCTGTATTTCAAATCATTTCAAGTTATGGGTGTCAACTCTTCAACACACTCGCAAAATAAGTATCTAAATTTTTTGGAATAGTAAAGTTATAGGGAGAATTTTTCTGGGTCAAAGGTCGGGGAAACGTCCATAAATTGAGCAGGACGAAACAAGAAGATGTCAGTACTTCCAGAAATAGTAGCGTTATGTATGTTGGCGGTGTGCCGCATCGTGCTAAGCGTTAGGAATACGTTCGCCTTCACACTTCTGATTGCCCTGCACAGGTTCGCAGGTTCGAATCCCATGCAGAGATAGTTATGTGCGAGAGAATTGCTGGACTCCCCGCTGCTGTAGGGTGGTTAAAGTAATCTAACATCAAGTCCATGCTTCTGAAACTAATAACTGGCTAACTAATCCCATACCCGACATGGACTGGTAACTGGACGAGAGGTCGTGGTTTGCCATATGATTAAGCGGTCTTATCGGCTTCCCACTCCCCCGGATAAATATGTAAATCGTATGTGACTGTTTATTTGAGCTTTGTTTGGTAAGAAAAAGACTTTTTATGAAATAAATAAAGGAACAGATTACCTTGCTGCAGACCCAGGGTGAGATCTTCTTGCAGCAGAAGCTTGTCGTTGCCTTGCTAAGAATGATTGGCCTGGATTGGTGTGAGACAGTCGCTCATCGACTGCTTTCCGATGCAGTTTCATGCCCTTGGAACAAAAAAAAACGTGAGAATATTAGAGGTTTTCGCAAATCGTGCACCACAAGATGATTTCTAGTACGGTGAAACCGGTAATCGGACGAGAGGCTGTGGTGCGGCATATGATGAAACAGTCTCACTGGCTTTTTTCTCCCCTGGGATAAATATGTAAATCCTATTCTTCTACTATGTTGAGAGTTTTTAATTTACTCCTTTGCACTACACTTGCCGTAAAACAACAAAAATTATTAAAATAAATATTCAGAATACAGTACAGTTGGTGATTAGGACATTCAATCAGGTTATGACAGTTTATGTGCATAAAACAAGCCCACACACAGGGTGTTCATAACGCCCCTCCACAATTCCAATTCTCAATATATCTTAAACAGGTTTGCTGTTTATTTTAATCAGTAATTGTTCAAGTATTTTTACCTCATTTAATACATCTGCGAGGACCAAAACAATATATGGTATCGATAAATTCCCTTTGCAATTTACCTATAACACCCTATGTATCACATTGATTAAATGTTCGAAATATATCCTAATACTTTTCCTTGTCATAATTTAATGTTATTAAAGTGAATTTCTTTTCGAGTGTGTTGTGAATTTTATTACGAAAAGGAAATGCCTTGAGTTTGAAAAGTTGTAACCCCCCCACCCTTGAGAAAATAGATTTTAGATTGGCAATGACATCAGAAATTATGGCTTGGATTCGTTAAATTTGGAATTTGCATTCATATTGAAAATTTCAATCCCGACCCAACCAGGACTGTGATACTTGCAAAAAACACCACACTTTAACTACCCCGAGCCCTCGGTTGAAGAACTCTAGTTGCAGGCACTTATATATTTATAACTCTACAATGTATAATGATTTAGGAATTCAATCCATAACTCAGATAGATTCTAATCCGGGACCTCTGACAATTTAACCAAGAATGCTATCCTAGGACCCCCTCACTTACCATATTAATACCAGGCCATTCACAATCATTCCTTTCTTCTTGAATCTCTAGTCTGTTTGGTTTTCTCTCTTTCTTGCTGTAAATAAAATATAACAAAAAAATGCATAAAAAAACACTAACTGCAATGTCCCTCTAATTTTTATAGTATGTGTGCGCAGAAATTTCGGTGTGTGCGCACTGTTTTGGAAATGACTAATATTTGTGCAAAAATCAATGAAGAAATTTTGGCGTTCTAACCGGGTAATAAGTGGGCCAACAACAAACTTTCTCAACCTGCCAACCGAGAACATTGTTACATTACATCAAAATACTTCTGTGCGCAGTAAATCTATGCGTGTGCGCAGCCTCTGAAAGCTGTGTGCGAGCGCACACGCGCACACCTTAGTTAGAGGAACACCGCTAACATGTATGGCATTGGTGTGGAAGTTTTCATGAAGCATGGCCTCTTCCAAAGATTCTCAACACTTGTGGCCCCTTTTCTATATAAATAATTAGTTTTCCTTTTAACCCTCAAAGAATTATTTTGAATTAAAGCAGTGATTGTGTAGGCTTCTTAGTGCTGGCATCCGCCAGAATATCTCTATGGCTGCCTAGGTGGGCCAAGACAAACAAACCCCTATTTAAGTGTAGTGAGGGATGAATAGAGAGAGGGTTCTGAAATAGCCAAAGAGAGGAATTTAATGAAAAATTTTGGAAAACATTGGATGAAAGCAAAACTTACTTCAGCCTGTTTGAGCAATTTATCCTTTTCATTCAACTGAGCTTTCAGTTTCTCCATTTGAGTTCCAGATTGCTGTTGGTTTTTGTTCGGATCCAACGTTCGGATAACTGTCTTTGCTTTCTCAAGATATTTTTTGTACCTGGAGGAAAATGGGAATTTTTTTTATTTGATTTTAATCAAGCGAGGTCATAAATACTCTCTCGAATATCTCAGAGTATAGCCCCTGGTGAATCTTTTTCATTGAATAGTATACTTTCTTATTAACCATATTTTTATCATAAGAATTTGAAATATTTAAGCTTACACATATCTGTGTTATAATTATAACGTTACAGGAAGGTTAAGTCACTGTGTCCCAAGCTTGCTAGAGCGGAAATGGCATACTTTTTTTTTACTTAATGGGCCACGCAACTTGTTATATTCTTTTTCATGAATAGGAAATAAGAAATATGCCAATCCTTGAGCATGCGAAATCATATGTAATGCAAAAGTTATTGCTATGTCCCAAGGATCGAAACAGCATTTTTGCAAGTGACAGAAAACAATTGATTGGAATTTGTAGTTAACTTAACTTGTAAATAACTCCTTAGTTGTGGCTCAATCCCAAATTTTATATTGATGCTTTTGTCATTGAAAAGTTCGTATAATTTCAAAATTTCTTCGTCATTTGAGGATGCCACCGAAAAAACTTTGCAACCTGCAGTTCAGTGGTTCGTCTTCCCCTTTATATATCTTGAAAAACCCAACAAAAGAAATTCCTACCTTTCCTCCATATTCCTCATATCATCTTCTTTCTTTTTCAGCAATTCTTTCAATTCATTGACTTGTCGATCACCAGCCGATACTTGAGGTTCGATCTCTTCAATGTAAGCTTTCTTGTTCTGAAGTTCTGAGTCGCGATCTCGAAGTTTGACTCTGTAATGTAGTTGAACAATTTGGTGCATATTATAGCTAGGCCCAATCAAGGGATAGCCAAAACAGAATATTTCACTATTCCGAATACATTCTGATAAAATAATTTTGAATAAGTGATATTAAATACAGTCTAAATTGGGGGCAAAAAATAATATAAATTAATATATTTATATGTTAATCACATCCAAAACGACATAAATTTATTGTTTTCATTGATTTCTCAGCGGCCCAGAAGTATGTGTACCAAGATGGCGCACAACCTGAACCCTAACTTGGTACACACACTATGTTCAGGTTGTGCGCCATATTGATGCATATGCTTCGAGTTCGAGAGCACCAATTTCTCTGCGCTGTTTGTCATATATGATTGTTGCATTGCATGGTTTTATGAAGTACTTCACAATTTCTCCTAAAAGTGCTTTGAATAGGATTTCTTTATTGCTAATTTTGAATCTAATTAAAGATACCGTGAAGATACTTACAAATGTTCTTCTAACTTCTTTCTCAAAGCAGCATTCTGAAACAAAACGATATGAATTAGTTTGACTAAAATAACTTTCCAAAAAAAAGAGAAAAACATTATCAATAACACATGAGAAATCTGATCTTGCTACATCGTTAAAATAAGGCTAACACGATTATATAAACCCAAATAGTTTGGCACCAAATTTGAATTTTGGTTTAAAATAGTTTCTGAGTCCTGTTGCAGGATGGATTTTGAAATAAGCGATATGAGTATATTGTTGTGTAAGCAAGTCTTTTGAATCACAGTGCAGATAGCTGGTGAAAACTAGCGTGTTAAGCAAACAGTGACTACTTGTGCTTGTGTAGTGAATTATTGTGTAGAGCAGGGGTGTGCAATATTTTATGTTGGTGGGCCATGTAACAAACTTCAGGCATTCAGTCGGGCCACGCAAAAATTTAAGTTTATCCATGCGGGAAGGCAAGAGAAGAGAATGCTGCTATTGCTTAGCCTTGTAGTAAGTGATAAAGGCACCAGACAAAACAGCGAAAGATTTACTGCAGGGCAAGAGCAAAAACATTTAGTATTTTTACCAACATGAGCGACTTTTTGAACATAAACTGTCGGATTAGGACTTTTGATTGATGGGTAAAAAATCAAGTGTTGACAAGGGCCACACTAAATGGCTTGGAAGGCCAGGTTGTGGTTGCCTGTTGCACACCTTTGGTGTATTGGATACAAATTATTTGGCTGAAAGAACCCATTTGACATTAAAAAGTGTTTTTTCATGAAGCATTAACTAGGAATGTCCCTGAAATGCAGCTTATCAAACAAGATTTAAATCACTCCTATAACTCGTTGTAATTTATTTTAAACAGAATAGGCTTAATTGATGTTTTCAAGGTAATTGAAAATTCCTAATTTTTACATTAAAAATCATTTCTGGCCATGATTTATTGAGATTTTTTGGGCAAATTAAACAAATAGCATGATTTTGATCTAAAATAGTCACATAGTTCAATTATATCGAATTGATCTACTACTGGATAATACATAAAACACATCACACCACTACGCTAACAAAGTCAGTGAAAACACAAATCACATTGTGTTAGCGAATATCGAACATATTTTTAATTGAGTCATGTTCCACCATGAATACATAGAAGTCAATGGAGGAAATTTGAGATTAATTTTGTGTTTTCCACTTTTCCAAATGTTTTTAAAGACATTTTTAGCCGTTTTAAAAGATTTCAATTGCCCTGGATAATAATTATTTGAAATAAATTAATTATTCTAAATTATTTTTGAAATCAAGAATTCAAACGATTGTGCAACTACTCTACCAAAGCCAATGTAAATTACTACACGCAAATTACAAAAAATTGCCCACATCTGAATAGCCCTATTATTATTAAAGAATAAACATTTGCTCTGAACAAGGCTCCAAAAAGCAGTGATGGGGCAGTAAAACTCGAGTTCAGGAAATACAAGAGGTTCAATAACATTGTAACAAATTTTTACAAATCCTGTTTTGTAATGTTTCATTTGAACTAAGTCAATCTGTATATTAGTAATTGAGATGGCCTATTAATTTGGACCAAACTTGGTTGAAATTGCAGATTACAGATCTCCAGTTTACACCCACCTCACCCAAGAAGGTGTAAAAAATTGAAGAGGCAAAGCCGCAAACAGAAGATTCCGGTAGATCTAAAACATGTATAAATCAGTGGGTGGGCTCGATTGCTTAGTGGTCACAGTGTTAGAGCAAACTATGTTTGAGTCGCCGGTCATAAACAATATGCTTATAGGCGCATAAATCTGATCGCACTATTTCTCTTTTATAACCATATGCATTGATAGGTGAGTACGGCATGTTACGATTTGTAGTGTCGGCTTATATGCTAACTTTAGTGAATTAGCTGTTTTTGGACTGTTTTTAGAGGTCAACCTAAATGCGAGTATTTATTAGTGAATGCTTGTTCAGAACAGATGTACAAAATACTTCATAAACAAATCAGGCTACTCAGGCAAATTGTTGAACTCAATTAGTGAGCATTATTCATCTATCACACAGATTTCACTCTCTACTTGTGGATACTACTACTTACATGAGGCTGCAGGTTGGAAAAAAATAATAAAATTATAACATTTGTGGAATAAGGGAGCAATGCTCAAAATATGAACACAAAGTCTTCGAATCGGTTGGGCATTATAGCACAAGGGGGCTCCCGAAGTATGCGAACCAAGATGGCGGACATCGGAATGTAATATGTGTACTAGGTTAGGGTTAGGCCATAATTTTAGGTATAAATACTACGGGAGGCTCTTGGCTAGTGTTCGAACTGATAATAGGACTAAAATAAGGAAAATTGGAAAAAAATTATCGCCTAACCCTAACCTGTTACCCATGTTACGTTCCGATGTCCGCCATCTTGGTTCGCATACTTCGGGAGCACCCAAATTTTGCCATAATGATCAGCGGACCATCGGTATGGAATAAAAAGTGTTCCCCTTTAATTAAAATTGCTGGTGAAATATTGCATTCCATACATAAAACTAAAAGGAAATTCGAAAGGAAATAAAAGTAATCGCCTTCTAGCGACTTTTCCGTCTTCTAATGAAAATTTTGAATGGAATAGAGAGTGATCCCCTTCAAATAAAAGTATTGGTGGGTCCCGTAGCTTTTTCCATGTTTAGGAACTGAAAATTGTGAGTCGATTGCTACACTAGTTGCAGATAAAATTGATTTTTTTGCCCAAAACGAATTTGACAAAATCATCCTTTCATTTTTCTAATCGAACATTTTGCTAATCTAAATATATACAGAAAAAGGGAATATGCTTGTCAACCGTGGCTCTGGTTACTTGATTTATGTCGCATGGATTCTGTAAACAACATTTAATCCTGTCATCTTGAGCTCACCGACCAGTCGGTGAACATGATGGACTAGCGGTCAGCAACACAATTGGGCGCTGCAGAAGTATGTGTACCAATATGGAAGTAACTAATTTTGTTCGCATACTTTACATCAAGTTATGTAAAGGGACTGAAACCTATAGGCAGGAGAATATTCACTTGGCTAACACAGTCAGTCCCCAAACTCGTAATAGAACTAAAACAAAGAAAACCTGAATAAAATTATGCCCTAACCTGGTACACACCCTACAAGAGCACCCACAATTGTGTAGGCGTTGCTAATTTATGGATCAAGTTTCAAGCACCGTGCATAACACAGTTGGCAGGCCATTATAGTTTGACTTCGACACAATCCCAAATAAGCTAGGGTTGCTAAACTCGATGCTAGGCACAGTCTGTTGAAGATCTCAAGTTCAAATATTGCAATTTTTGGACAACAAAATTGAATTAAATTTGAATAAAATAAGTAAATCCTAAACTTACATCTTCCAACTGTGATCCTTTATCCTGCAGATCAGACTGAAGATCTTTCACTTGATTCTGGAGTTCCAGGGATCTTTGGTTGCTTAGCCTAGGAAAAATTATTTAGGGCAGTGGTTATCAAACTTTATAAGCCACGCCCGCCTTTTTTGAATTTAACAAATCTCGCACTCCACCTCAAAAATAACTAGCTAACAATAAGCTACAAATAACAGATAGTATGGTGAAAGTATGTTTTATTTAAAAACACGTTAAAAATACGTGAATGGAACATAAATAATAAGTTTTAATGACAAGCAAAATTTGTTTTATTTAAATTAGTGCAGTTGTTTTTGGCAGACAAAATAAGAAATGTAAATACTCAAAACAAGGCGGGCAAGATCAAATCTAACAAATATTTTCAATTAGTTTCACGCCCCCTCAAAAAATAGTCTACGACTCTCCCTTGTGGGGCATGCCCCACCGTCACAACCTATTGGTTGTGACCCAAAATTAGATCATCTAAAAAATTTCTAAAAACCTAAAACGACTTTTATTTTCTTCAAATAATTTTGTTTTATTTTATATATTTGTATTAAAGTTTTGCTCAATAGTAATTGAAGCAATTTTCGATCCACGAACTCAAGCATAATGCAATGCTACTGTAAATATATTTTCATCATATCACAAGAATTCTCTAATTTGCCATTACCTTGTTTCTGTTTCAAGTTCATTAATTCGTGCATTAGCGACCTCTAGTTTTGACGTAAGTTCCGCTGTTCGTTCGTCTCCCAATTCAACTTGACGAGCTTGCAACATCTTGTTCTCGTGTTGGAGTCTGATCAACTTCTCTCTAGAAGTTAAAAATTTATTGTGTAAAAACTTATATTCCAGACTTTTCATATTAAAAACGTTTTCGTATGAGCAGCCACTATCATTTTCAGAAACGCCGCTATCTTTAACGTTCAACATTGACTCCCCGATATATTACAAATTACACTCTGGGCTAGGTGGCGGAATGAGATTTGAACATGCGATAACATGCATTGCTAGGATATATAATAAAGCCCTCAGACTGGAAGGTCATCCACCGATATTTTGCAAACACCATGCATACAAATATTTAGAAAACTTTACTCAAAGCGAGATCACGTACATTTGCTAAGAGGACAAAATGATTTTTCTATGAGCAAAGTGACAGGCAATAACTAAATTACCAATCAAGGTAGACACCAACATATTTATGTTTAGCATTAACTAATAAGCCATCCTGTTATGATAGGATTTACATATTTATCCAGAGGAGAGGGAAGCCGATAAGACGGCTTAATCATATGACGAACCACGGCCTCTCGTCAGGTTACCAGTCCATGTCGGGTATGAGATTAATTAGCCAGTCATCTGTTTTTCCATGCATGGACTTGAAGGTGGAAGAAGCCATAACTGACGAGCGCATGGGACTAGAACACATGAACCATTTCTCAATACACATTCCCAACTTACTTCATTTCTAAAGGATTCATGCTGAATCCATCAGAACCAGAATCACCACTTCCTAATAATGTTTCCTGGGTCACGCTCTTTGACCCTTGTTGATGAGAGGTCATTTGCAATTCATCATTGGTTTCTTGCAAGGAGTCCCGCTCAATAGATAATCTCTGTAATGGAAAATTTGATATAAAATAAGAATATTATCATCTAATTTTTAAAGTTAGCTGGGGGACTGATAATACAGAGCTGACATGGGCACACTACGGCTTGCGAGCCAAATCCGACCTGTTGGGTAATTCAATCTGGCACGCCTAATGCTGCCACAACCAAACTAAAACCAAATTTAGATGTTTTAGCTAAAAAATAGCTTCAGAAATTTGTTGAGATTGCGGTTAAATTTAGTTTTTGCACGATGCTTTGTTTTCCACCTTTGCTTTCGTAACACTGTAAATATTGTTCATAAAATGTCACTTTTAATGTCACACATACATGGCCCGACAGTCTAGATGGGCTAAATTTTCAACCCCTGGTCCCAAAAACCTTGCTCTTCCTTGATGTAATGTAAAGCCTGAAAGTTTCCATTCCTTCCAGTATATGAAGCTACTCATGTATGTCGCTCATACAAAGCCTTATTCAAATTAAATGAGTGAAAAAGTCTGTAAAGCCTGTAGGCTGCAGTTCAGATAATGACAGTGAAGTAATAAGTAGTATGGAAGAATATTATTTTGAAAAAAACCATCAGTAACAGCCTGGAGTCAAAAGTCGAAACAGGGGCTGTGCCAGAGGAAGGGATTTCTTTGGAATGTAAAGAAAAAAAAATTTCTGTATCAAACATAGCAATTTTTCGTAGCTTTAGAAATTTCAGAAACCCCCGAGTTTGAAACTTCTTGGCCAAGATGTTGTCTCTTCTTCCCACCCCTGGCGCTGAGTCCCATGTCTGTGCTATTTCAGAGTAAAACTTCACCTACTTGACCCTAGTTTAGTTTTGGTGTTTTTTCAGTCTAACCGGCCCCCAAATCACGTAAATACTAGTCTAGAGCCTATTTCAGAGTGAAATTTTACCTCTTTTTCCGCTTTGAAACATTGTACAAGAAACCAATTATAATCCTTATAATGAGGGGTACGAATTCCATCTTTGAAAATGTTTTTCCGTGAAATATGCAAAATTCATCCATAACCCTCATTACAGGGATTTTTTTTGATTCCTTGTACAATGTCATATTTTATACTTTTTTGCTCCAGAATTTAAATAAATGCAATTTCCTGGACATTCCTTTCCTCGACTTAACAATTCTGAGCAGCAGCTGGACTGAAATACTGCTTGACCAGAGCCTATTTAGGAGTGAAACTTTACCTCTTTCTCTGCTTCAAGATTCTTGATTTTCTCCGATCTTGTTTTCACTTCGAATTCTGCTTTATCTGCTCTCCTTGTCTCTTCTGATAATTTATTGTGAAGATCTAATACCTGGAGAAAGACGAGAGGGCAAAGGTCAAATATATGAACAAGAAGGTGAACCAGGGGGCTATTCAAAGATTGGCATACAAATCTTCAAATTACTGGAGTTCAATCTTTCCAGAAATTACATTTTCACATTTTTGAACATGTTCTTTCTCGGCCGGTTAATAATTTTTCTCGAATCAAGATAGGGCTATTGGAGTTGTTTATTATGGCGTTACAGTCCGCTCCATATATGGTCAGGTGTAAATATGAGCAAATTATAAAATACCCTTTAAAACTATAAAAGTCATTTAATAAAAGGAAACAATCACATGTCCAAGATGGGTTCAATGATCCAAAATAAAGAATTTGGTGCAGTATGGATCAAATACTCAAAAGGTCCGGATTCGGACCGCAGTATGCCAGTTGAGTAGCTGAGCACAGATGTTCGCATTATAGAAACTGGGGATGGCCTTGACGTAGGCAGTCACGCATGGCAGAATAAAAACTGTGTTCCCATGAATAAAAACTTTGCACAGATATCAGATCTCATAAGATTCATGAGAAACAATAATCTTTAACCACTGAAAATTTCAAAGCAATTACTCCAGTAGTTGAAGGGAAAAGCGTTTTTCATAACGAGGAGAAAAACACAAAAACATAATAACAAAATGATCCACTTAGAGTCCAACAAGAATTCGTCAACATTTTGATTCAAAAGGTCTTTTTTGAGCATCAGAGAATTCACTCAGAGCTTTGTCAGTGGAAAGATATTTTTAGCGGTATTTTATGACTGTAACATTTAGTCGTAATTTCAGCAGAAACACAAGTGGGCCGGATGAAACATTTATTTGGCTGGATCCGGCCATCAGGCTATAATTAGCCCACCCGCGCCCTAACATTTTTATTTACTATGCAAAAACCTTGATAAAAGTATATTTACTATTTACCTGTCTCTTATATGTATCCAATTGCACTCGGGCTGCGTTTGCTTTTCTCAATTCTTCCTCAAGTTGAACGGTTTGTTCCATAAACGAAGTGTTCTTATCTTCTAAGAGTTTAACCTGAAAAAATAAAGGAAAATCCTTATTTATCAAAATGTTTCCATGCATGTGTTTTACATCTTACACTCCAAAAAAGTCTCACGACAAGTAATAACTGATTGTGAAATGTTTCACACAAATAGCTTTATCAAGACCCGCTTTTTGTTTGTATACTTCCCCTTATAGAAAAATTCCATGTTTTCTTTAGTCCCATACTATAAATACTACTGAAATGATCAGCATGAAAGGTTGAACCACTGATCTAAACAAAAAGCTACTCATTTTTTGGGGATTTTTTATGCGTCTGGTTCTTTGCCAGAGAAGCTTCCATTGTACTAAACGATAGCTTGTCTAAGAGATTATTAAGAGCAAACATGTAATATTCTAGATACCTGTCCTCTCAAATCACCCAGTTCTTTCAATTTCGTTTTGTACGTTTCCACGGTAGCTTCCAACTTTGTGGCTTTAATCGATGCGGAACGGAGATAATCAATCTCGTCTTTTAACATTCGTGATTCGTCCGCTAGAGTTGAAAGGTCATCGACACGGGTCTGTGATTCTGTCAGTTCACGCTCCAGTACCTCACAACGGAGTTTAAAGTCGTCTCTCGCCGATTCCAACCTGGAAAGCACAAATACAGAGTAGGATTAAGGTAAAAATTGCCCAGACTGCAATATTAAATCCAGTCAGAAATGATTTTTCCAGTGTCCGGAAATTTTGCTGCAGGAAATTTCTCGTCATAGGGTTAGGGGGTATGCTCTTTATCACAAATACTTGTTTTTCAGCAAAATGTTCTTGCGGCGATTTCCTGCCGAGAGATTTCCTACAGCGAAATTTCCTAGATCCAATTTCTCCAAACATGGAATCTATATTGGTTATGCTCTACATTTAAATCTACAAAACTCAGTTTCAATTTATTAACTAAAAATTTGTAATCGGAAAATGATTTAAGAATCTTGTTCTAATTGTATTGTCATGTATTATAATGTCCAAAGTAGAGTAAAAAGCTAATTTAAAATTTTTTTTTGATATTACATTTTCGAGTTGTCGCTAACATCTAATCCTAGAATCTAGGAATGTAATAACCAACCTGTACGTCTCTTCTTGCAGTATCTCTATCTGCTGCAACATTTGTGTATGTCTGACACTAGCTGGCGATGTAGGGTCATCAAAATGTTCTGCAGAAAGTCTTTCTTGTAGTTGTTCGTTCTCTAATTGTATGTTGGATTTCTCTTCATGTAACAGGGCAACCTGGATTAGAATCCTTGATAAGTTTCACGGCATACAGATACGGATATGGCCATAGATGTGAAATAGGCGTCAGAATTTTTAATTTTCGTGTTCAGGAATTTTCAATGGTGGTAATATAGGTCTATTTCTCTAAACCTAGAGTACCACGGTCGTAAATTTCCTCGAAAAAAATAATTTTTCATGGCTGCACTTAAACATTCTTTGAATATGAAACAAACTCAAGTTCAAAGATAAAATAATAAGTAATTTGCTATTCTGAACAATTATTCTTAAATTTTAAATATCTGATATATACTATAAAATGGATGAATTCAAAAAAAATTTGTGCAAATTTTTGAAAATTCATAGAAACAGCAGTGCCAGAAGCTATATGTATGTTAACATTTGATCCCTGTATGATAAATGCCCGAAATAACATTTTCCCCAATGAAACTTATCTAAACTATTCCTAAAGACAAGAATTTATGATATCGAATGTAACCAATTTCGGACCGATTGCCATTAATATAACAAATTTCAAGTGAAAACGGTGGCGTGAGTGGAAAGTGTGAAAAAAATAGATGAAAAAGAGAGAAACGACAAACCTGATCGAAAAGCATTGCATGGTCTGATTGCAGAGTTGTGTGTTCGATAGAAATCGTAGTCAGCTGATGGAGAGAGATAGATATAGGAAAGATTCAAGATAAGCAAGAATAAGAGATAACTTGAAAAGTTATAAAATATGTGACAGCTTGTGTGTCACTCTCTGAGGCAAACGAAAATATATCTGCTGGAAACATAGAAACAAAAGAATGAAGAACAAAGTACGCTCCAGAAGTGTGGTACCAATACGAAGGTAACTAATTTTGTTCGCCTATTTTACATCAAGTTGTGTAAAGGGACTGAAACCTATCGGAAGGGGTACATTCACTTGACTAACACAGACAGTCCCCGAACTTGTCCTCTTTTTAATAGAACTAAAAAGAGGAAAATCTGTATATAATTATGGCCTAACCCTAACCTAGAAAAATACCAAAAAAAATGATAAATCAAAGAAGATTTTGTGTGTTATTAAGGTGCTCCCGAAGTATGCGAACCAAGATGGCGGACATCGGAACGTAACATGGGTAACAGGTTAGGGTTAGGCGATAATTTTTTTCCAAATTTCCTTATTTTAGTCCTATTATCAGTTCGAAGACTAGCCAAGAGCCTCCCGTAGTATTTATACCTAAAATTATGGCCTAACCCTAACCTAGTACACATATTACATTCCGATGTCCGCCATCTTGGTTTGCATACTCCGGGAGCCCCGTTATTAATAATGGTGTGGTATATATTTTAGCGGAACTGGCACAAAGCAAGATCACACACACTTACTCAAAATAATTGAAGGCAAACCCAAAGTTACAGGCAAGGCACTACTACATCTTAATGGTGAGTGGTCGCATGTATTGAATAAAAAAGAGAATTTTAATAAACATGTAAGGTATTTCTAAAGCACCAACTCTCGAGAATCTTTTGCACAGGAGGAGTAAAGAAAGAATTATACCAGAGTCATAGTTTATGGAGACATTGGGTTCGCCAGGGCAATTTGTCATTTGTACATGGACCTGAGAAATTACCTGATTATCAAGCTCATGACACCTTTGCGCCATTTCTTCTTTTTCCGCAATCAGTTCTGTCATTCGTTGCCGTAGTGATTGTAATTCCTGACTCATGTCTGAATTTGCTGTGTCATTGTTTTCAGATCCGCAGGGAACATAGTGTTGCATGAGTTCCTGAAATAGAAAAATATGATGAGATATGGAGGTAACTAATTTTGTTCGCCTATTTTACATCAAGTTGTAAAAAGAGACTGAAACCTATGGGCAGGAGGGTATATCCACTTGGCTGAACTCGTAACAGAACTAAAATAAGGAAAATCAGAATAAAATTATGCCCTAACCCTAACCTGGTACACACACTTCGGAAGTACCTAAATTTATTTCAGAAAAAAGGAAAGACAAAAAGGCTGGCTTAATCATAGAATAAGACTTTCTTATACAAGGTGTCCATAAAGTCCCTTTACCATTTCAATTTTGTTATAAAGTCAGTTTTCAATATATCTTAACCAAGTTTGTTGTTATATTTAAATCAGTAATTGTTCAAGTATTTTTAATATATTTAATACATCTGTGAGGGCCAAAACAATATATGGTATGGATAAATTCCTTTTAAAATTTAAAGACTTCATGTATAGAACTTCATATGCCGGGGGAGAGGAAAAAAGGTAAAATGACTTAATCATAGGAATAAATTTCCAAGTTTATTTCAAAGGGACATCAATCAAATGGCTTCATAATAAGATAGGTTGTTCGGTTCATCCTGGGTGGGAAAAAGTCGACAACAAGGCTTGTTAAAATGATTAACCATGGCACGTAGTCAGCTGACAGGTTCAGGCAAAGTTAGGATAAGATTTTTATTTTAATTCATAATTTATCACATTTCATAGTTGAGTTGTTTAAATGAAATAAAAATATTGTCACACAGTGTCGAAGAGGCAGAAACTGTTATCGCATCCTCCAAATTTAGTATACCCAATAGAGCAGTGGTTACTAAACCACGGCCCGCGGGCCAATTACGGCCCACCTAACATGTTAACATGGCCCGCCGAAGTTGGGTGAAATAGTTTAACACTATGTTTTTACTTTTTTGCGTTCTAGATACCGCCAATTGTTACATCATTATCACAGTTTGTATATTCGTAACAATTCAATTACGTTCTTAATTATACGTTCCAGTGCCACGGCATTTTCCGGGCGTTCCACTCGACTGGCCATCCTAGCGTATGACAATGATTACTAGTCGCAAGACTCCATAATCGCTTAACCAACATTTTTTCAACCAGCATCCCAATTCGCTTCAATGAATTCATAAAACTGATTAAGGAATTGTGAGGATATAATTTTGTTATATTTTTTGTGTTCCGAATAACTTCGGACTTTAATTACCTGAAGTTTCAATTCCAAATAATGTCATAATTCTCAAACAATTATCTATTATTAAAACCTAATTATTTGATTAGTAAGACATTTATGAAACTATAATTACTCATTTGGGAATGGAAAAGTCTAACGGGAATGTTTTGTTTTTTAACTAGGATACCCTGGGGTTGCGTGGGTTTAATGTTGAAATCCAAGAGTCTATATTATTACTTATCGATTTTAATCGGTAAGTATGTTGATAGGTATTTGTCTGTTTATCTGTCTGTTTGTCTGTCTGTCTGTTAGATGCACGCAATATCTCATGAAAGTGAAATTGGATCTGCTCCAGATTTTGCATGTGCATTCATCATATGTCGTACCAGTAGCCTATTGATTTTGGGCGAATTATGTCGTATAATTAGCGAGTTATTAATTGATAAGTGATGGGACACAAGGTGCCACTATGGAGTAAGAGCGCTGTTTTGGGGGATCCCCTAACTTTCGATCGATAAGTCTTCGTTCTCTGACCGATATTCTCGTTATATGTTCATTCTTTAAATATATACTCAGATACCTATTAGATTTGCCAATATTGTGAAACTCGCTACACTGTGTCATTTTGTTTTGCCAGTATTAGGTTTGCTGTTACATATATTCAAAGTTTACTACTATATTCCTAAAAGCTTACATTCTACTTCAAGTATTGCACAGAGGTACCTTGAGTCTCTTGAATGTTTAATTGGACGTTTAATTGAACTTGAATGTTTAATCCTGCATCACCAAAAGTTGAAAACCGATGAGTGTAAGAGTGTAACAATATACCATATTGAATGAAACATATATTGAATCCATTTTAATATTAGCTATTCTGGACACCTTCAGCCTACTAGGCAGACACTTCACCACCTGATCGCAACATAGGAAAACTGAAAACATACAATTAATTACTAATTATGTCTATCAATTTACAATGATTTCTAGAAATTTCCCTGTTGTACACATCTAATGTGGAAAATATTTAATATTCCAAAACATCATTTGAAATATATTTCGAAATAATAATTATTATGTTTTTTGTCACCTTGGTATCTAAAGGGAGATTTGGCAGTTGCGAAATTTATTGAAAGACTTCTTATTAGATGAAGTAATTATTATATAAGACTGAAACTATAAAATGTCTTCTTGTTCCTGGACCAATACAGAAGAAGCCAGGTTTCAAAATAGCCAGGTTTCAAAATATTTCATGATCAGAGCTCCCTTTCAAAGACTCTAAACCAGATGCGTGGAACATTTTTTTGTCGGTGAAGAATTAGGCGAGAAAGGCTATAAAAAAGAATGCGGATATCATTTAGCCTTACAGTAATAACGGCACCAGGCTAATGAGTAAATAGTTTACTGCAGCGACAAGAGCCCCTGTTCTTATACAATTATTTGAAATAGGAATTGAGCTATTCTTAATAAATTAATAGTTATGAAAACATACTTAATCATCAGCCTAGTTACATATACGAAACTATTATTCATTCATTTCCTGCTAATTAAATGTTAAGTACAAGAAATCTCAACGTCATTATCAAATTATAAGCTGGCTTAATGATAGATGATTAGCAAAGATTAATTTCTATAGTCATAGGTTCGTACATACGGAGTGTCTATAAAGTCTTTATACAATTTCAATTTTGTTATAAAGTCAGTTCTCAATATACCTTAACCAGGTTTGTTGTTTTTTAATCATTAATTGTTTAAGTATTTTTACTTCATTTAATACATCTGTGATGGCTGAAACAATATATGGTATCGATAAATTCCCTTTGCAATTGCTGGACACCCTATATTAACTAGAGCAGTGTTTATTAAACTTTTTTGCCGAAATACCTACGCTTTTTATCTCGTCACGCAGAAACCAAGATATTAGGAGATTAAATTAATGGGTGGTTCCAAAATATTTAACCCATGGTAAAATTAAAAAGTATGCTGCAAACTTCACAATTAAAAACGGTCAAATGTTAACGTTATTGAACGCTTAACCAAAATGCCACGCTTTCCAGACTAGGACGAGGTCTGTCAGCTTGTTTTGATAGCAAGGTTCGTTTGTTGCCAGCTGGGAGACAAATTTACTACCCAATGTCGCCGAAGGCCGAGATCGCCATGGCGACCAATTTAGACACAATTTCTATCCCAGTTCAGCAACATAACAGTTCCGCCGAACACTGTTTGAGAAACAATGAATAATAGAATTCCAAAATAAGTGGAATATTCGAATAAGGGAAAACTAAAATCGTATAATTCACATATTAATCAAAAATTGCAATCATTTTCGGTTCTGAATTAGCCTACTACCGGTATCTAAATGATATTTACAAATGTTAACGACATCCTGCATTAGCTTATGGTAAGCCAAAAATTTGCAGAAATAATTGATATTCCATAGAATGTTTCAATTGTTTTCCTACTGTTTACAAGATAATTCACTTTTTTTGTCATTTTATTTTTCCAGTGTTAAACTCAAAAATCTCAATACAAAATATCTATTTGGCATTGGAATGTATTTGCCACAAAAAAAAACTTTGAAATGCCAAACTCTCAGTCCAAAATATACTAAATATTACAAAATAAATACAAGGAAGCAGTGCCCAGAAGTGTGTGTACCAATAAGGAGGTAACTAATTTTGTTCGCCTACTTTACATCAAGTTGTATAAAGGGACAGAAGCCTATGGGCAGGGGTTATATTCACTTGGCTAACACAGACAGTCCTCGAACTCGTAATGAAACTACAATGAGGAAAATCAAAATCAAATTAACGTATTTGCTCGTATTGTATTCCGGGCCCATATTTTTTTCAACCAACTCACTAACCGGGCCCTTATTAAAACCACCCTTATGGTGTTAAGTAATCAATGCTATCTGTTATGTACTTGAACGCCTAAGGCGTGAGTGTTATCTACCGGCGCTTAAAATTCAACAGCGATGTGACAAAAGCGCTTCTTATTTCCTATTGTTCTCTACCACTGAAAAATCAGCTTTTACATCGGGCGGGTATTCAAGCACCGGCCCTTATTTAATTTTATGTTCTGTCCACAACGGGCGGCTATTTAAACGGGCCCTCAATCAAGATTGGGCGGTAAAATGAGCATATACGGTATGGCCTAAGCCTAACCTGATACACACACTATGGGAGTACCGAAATGACTACCTGAATTGCTGTCATGACAACGTGTTGCACATCTTCATCTAGTTGCATAATTTCCTCAATGTAGTCTGAAAATGATAAATGAAAATTATGATAAGTTTTGTAAATGATATATCAAAAATATAGGCTTAAATCACATTCATATACAGTAGATAATCTGCAACTGGACAGCTTGGTTCGTTAGGGATACAATTGTTATTAAATCTTATTGCACTGGTTCCATTCCAGTGGGAAACAATAATGTGGGAAAGAATTGATAGACTCCTCCTTGCAGTAAGGTGGCTCATGTAGTTGGTTGTTTATAACTTCCTTCACTATCAAGTTCATGCATCTGAAATCAATTACCTGGCTAACTAATCCATATACTGCATGTAGGGGTAATCGAACAGGTGACCATGGTTCGAAAAGCTGTCAATCAAGCTGTCTGTCCGCTGGTGGGTTACGGCTTCTTCCACCATCAAGTCCATGTATCCGAAGGCCAATAACTGGCTGACTAATCCCATACCCAACATGGACTGGTAACTGGCCATAATTCACCATTTAATATGGAAATCCAATCCTAAAAACGCTCCATGCTCTCCTTCATAAAATATATACTCACGTTGCTTTTTGCTACAATTCACCACGACTCCTAGTATGAGTTGCAGAAGCCTTCCTAATTGTTGTTTATCAGTTTGTTCACTTATTGCCATCAAATCGGGAAGTTGAAATCCAACAAGCTCATTTCCAGTGACCTGTTTAAGACAAATGTTGAAGATATGTGTTAATAATTATATTTGTCGCGCGTTCTCTCAGAGGTAAACGAGATGTTTCCCTGGGCAAAGTTAGAGGCAACTATTGAAACTGCTATGTACATATGCTACTGGATGGAACAAATTATTGTCAAAAAAATTAAATCTGATATAAAATTGTTGGTGAGAAGATTTTTACAGTTTATAACATCTATGGTGGCTTTTCTTCCAGTTGTGCATGCACTACTATAAATAAGCCCAGTAACAACCACCTGCTATTTGGGCTATATGATCTGTGCAAGAAAAAAAAATGCCCTTAATACAAGTTTTATAGTTTTTATCGATATAGTCATTTAGTGTTAGTACCGTAGCTTATTTCTTGAAGAAAATGAAAATACACACTGTACATGCAGTAAGGAATAAAACTTGCAAAAAATGACATTTTGGGGTGAGGAAGACGCAAAAATCAATATTGGCTTTTGAGTAGCAAAATCTTTGATGAAGCCTAACAGAAGCTATTACAAATGATAAAATAATGACGATAACAAATGCTGATGTCAGCATTTTTGTATACAAGAAACGATGACTCACTTCTCTGAAATAGTCGATCATATGATTGAGAACTTTCTTGAGGTTGTTTGTCTGAAAAAAAATTCAACGGATCTTTAGTTTAAAATTGCAATAAAATGTGTTCCCCTTTCGAACAGTTGCAAAGTCGGGTACCAATATGGAGGTAACTAATTTTGTTCGCCTACTTTACATCAAGTTGTGTGAAGGGACTGAAACCTATGTGGTATATTCACTTGGCTAACAAAGACAGTCCCAGAACTCATAATAGAACTAATATAAAAAAAATCGGTATAAAATTATGGCTTAACTCTGAACCTGGTACACACACTACGGGAGTACCGCACAGTTTTTTTGTTTAAAATCAAACCAGGATCTCCGCTGATAAATGAAGCAACCCGTACTTCAGTAAACCATTACCATCCACGATATTGTAAAAAAATTGAAATTTTTCAATGATACGCTGATCGTTTTTCGACGATACCATGGAAACAATACACCAAACTGGATTTTCCTTGAAGCGCACATTACTAGGTTAACCCACGGTGGAAATTTCAACCAGGTCGGCCAGACAGTTAGGCGCTGCAGCTGAACACATAGACGGAGAGAACAACTGAAAAAGCGGAGATCCAAAAATTGAAATTTTGTGAATTAGGAAATGAAATTATGGCAAGAGTATTGATAGCATAATGTGCAACCTCTCAAGTCACTCATGAATTAGGAATAAAATTTCACCTTGAGTCTAAAGTTATCCCCGACATCTTCTTTTATCCTTGACAACCAAGCTGTATCGAAAAATTCACCGTCTCTGAAATAAAAATACCAATAATGTATCATGTGGATTCACATACCCAATCACACTAAAGGGTTCAACACTAATGACGGACTTGAAGGATTTTGAGACACTTCTAAACGTTATTAATAAAAGTAAAACATAACGACAATGTGATGTTTGTTTTTTGATTATTTAACATGCATGACACCCATAATTTTACAGTGATTGTTTAAATATGCATGTAACTGGTTATCTTGTTATAGTTGAACTATGCATGTCTGAAGAAGTCTGACCTTAGTCAGACGAAACATTACAGAAATATATTTGTGTTAGTGTGCAGCAAGACTCTTGAATCACTTAGGATAACGACAATGGTTATCATTTTTATTAATTCTTTTCTTGCTTTGATATGTGCGTACGCCGTGTTACACGATTCGTGGAGTCGGCTTATATGCAAATTTTTCTAAAAATAAACCGCTTCAAGGCCGCTTCTAAAAGGTAAGCCGCTTTACCATTGCAATTTTGTTATGAAGTCAGTTCTCAATATATATCCTAACCAGGTTTGTTAATTTTTAATTGTTGTAATTGTAAGTATTTTTACTTCATTTAATACATCTGTGAGGGCCAAATCAATATATGGTATCTATAATGCCTTTTGCAATTTTAAAAAATTTTCTTCGTGGACACCCTGTATATTCTGTATAACCCCATATATGTTTTGAGAAGGAAATTAGTTGTAGAAATAACAAGTTTTTGTTAGAAGTACTGCTCATCTTTCTTTTTTATTCATCTTTTTATATATCAATATTAGACTCCCTCATAGGTGACACTGCTCGATAACCGAGATTAGTTTATCGTGTCTCACAACACGATGAAATACATAATTCTATAATTTACCTCACTCTTTGCATACTTTTGTCTTTTCGTTATGTGAAAAAATAAGCTACTGAATGACTGTATAAATAAACAATGGTAAAATTCAAATATTCATCTTACATTTGGCCCAATATTTGAGCGATTGCAACTCCGTCTGTAACCTCATGAGGATATTGATGTGGAGCAGGAACATCGAAATTTGAAAGCTGAAAAAAAAGGAAAACTATTAATACTTATAAGATATACTATAATAGCTACAAAATCAAGACTCTGGTTTCTGGTGCCTTTTGTAGTCGCAGGAGGGATACAGCAGAGAAATTTCTCTTCCAACAGGGGAGATCGATTTATCAGTCCAAGATGATATGGGATAGAATAAAGCAGGGTTTACCAGTCAGCAGAAAGAATATTTATATTGGATTGGCAACTTACGCATTTCGGCTTCAAATGCCATGACAACCCCCCAGTAATAAATCAGACCAGGGGCGGGCAAAGTATGGCCAGCGGGCCAGGTCTGGCCCACGACGAGATTTTGACCGGCCCGCTGATTGTACATCAGTACATTATGATATTACCTCATTACATATTTAGTACATTATGATAAATTCATTATGTGTTTTTTGTTCATTTTTTTTTTGTCAAGTTTAAACTTTACTTCAACACGATTTATACGACTTTCTTTTTTGCATTAGTGAATAAATATGTGATTAAGATATTGAATACTATCCATGTTATAATTTGGCCCACCGAGGACTTCATTTTCCCACATCTGGCCCGCCGACTCGAGAAGTTGCCCATCCCTGGATTAGACAGCCAATGTAAAAACAAAGATTGCAGCCCTTAAGAAAATAGTTGCTATATAGGCATCATTTGATATCAGTGGGTGGCTTCATGCAAAGCGAAAAGCGTAAATATCGTCATATAAAAAAAATCAATATTTATTTCAAATAAAGCAATGATTTAATAAAAAAATACTGAAATAAGTAAATTACAAATAACTGAATGACTCACCCAGGTCATTAAAGAATCACATAATATCTCGTGTTCATCCATATTTGGAGTTTTTGAATCCTACTAATTCCAACAAGCAAATTTCCCAGTTTTGCCAAACCGTTCAAAACTACTGAACTACAAGTAAAAGTCCAGTACAGCCTTGAAGGCCAAAATTTTCTTTTATTTTTCTCTTATCAATTTATGTGATTTTGATAGTATAATTACTCAATAGTCAATATATATTCTAGAAAAATCTGAAAGATATAAAATCAGTTTATAGATGGCTAATAAAAAACAATTTATTTGATTCAATTTGTGAAGCAAACAAAAACTGAAGATAAATTTAAAACATATCAAACGCATTCCACCCATCAAGGTTGTAAGGAGAAAGAAAACAAATCCCAACAAACATAAACGAATAACAGAATAAACATGAATATCCGCGTGTTACCTACAGACCCAAATAATGGAATAGAATACAGGAATAGTACTGATACTGTGATAGTAAGAATAACTCGACGTCGACTAACTCCAGAACTCTGAAACCGCCAGTGCTTTAGTCTGTTATTGCGACCTACAGACAGACAGACCTAACTACTGGTACCGTAACGAACTAGGTCTGTAGGTCTAATTACTTAATTAAATTGATACGGTAGTCTACTACATGTAGACTACTAAAAACATGGTTCTATCTTCGGTCCGATTCCAGGATAGGTACGGTACCGGTACCGTAAAAGTCTGTGATTCCTATCAGATCGTCTTTTGTATCCATTCCACCATCAGACCATTGGATAAACATAGAATAATTGAGAAATCAAAGCCTATTTTCTGTATTTCCAGGCAGCCAGACAATCTAATTTCTAACGGTAGCCTACAACTTTTTCAAAATTGACCAACATGCTCTCATAGTCTAAAAACCTACTAAATGAATTTGTGAAGCTATTCTGATAATTTTCACACCTTGATAACGCAAACTAAGTTAAACTTGACCCGAAAAACTCAAATCCAGAACAGCTGATCCTCAGATTAACACCTTTCACCCTTTTTTTTTTTTTTTTTTTTTTTTTTTTTTGCCAAATTTAAATCCATAGCCAAATCGGATTTATGAAAATGATAGTTTTGGTTTATCCAAATATATTATTATGTCAATTTAATTGCATGAATCCCAATTTCCAAATAATTTAGGTGTTAAGTATACAATACATGATAGATAAATAATCACAAATATCAATTTAACCAGATACATTTACCCATATTAGTTCAAATATCCAATTTGAATTGTGTCCACATTCATGAAATGTCAATCCATGTAATCCAGTGACCATTGTGCATACATTTTTTTTTTCATTTTCAGTAGTTATACCATATATATTATAAATTTAACCGATATTATCATTTAATATGGAAAACAAAAATATTTAAAGAATTAGACAAATAATCATAAAAACGCCCATCATGCTATTAGGCGTTTTCCAGATTCTCGGTCTATGCAAACTTTTTTTTTTTTTTCTTGGAAATAACATTTTATTATAGAGTCTGTGATTGCAGAAACGATAGTTGCAGGTGTTAGGAATTAATATTAAAACAAGTTTAACATGAAATAATACATTATACACCCACAATGTTATCTGATATATCATAATTTTCATTACAACACAACAAACATTCACATTTTTATTTTTTTAACTGAATTATTTCAATGTATATAAATTTCAGATAATAAGTATGAAAACTATAACTACCATATTCAAAGCATTACTGATTTTCCTAAAAGAATTTCAATCTTTTCATCTTCTAATATTTCCTCTTTTACAAATTCATTCATACTTCTTAAAGATCCTATCATCACACATTTAAACATAGTTCTAAGTATGGACTGATATGTTTCCAATTCCTGAAATATTAAGCCATTTCTAAAATTCCAAATCGCTGCTTTACCACAAGCGATAATTAGATTCAGTGATTTAGTTTCACCTTTTTCACCTTTCACCCTTTGCGTCGACGATGTGACGTCATTAATTCACATTCTTTGTATCATTTATTATTTTTTTACGGTTGAACATTTGAAATACTGATGCCAGATAATTGAAAAGATTTTTAACTTTTTAGGAAGTTATTTATTATTCCGTTGAACAAAATATTGAACTAACATCATGAATAACAAAATAAAGTAGCAGACATCGTTTTATTCGAGTATAAACTTTGTAAAACAAATATATTAGGAAGTGTCCATAAGCAAAAGGTACACATGCAACTAAGTATAAGTTTATTTTGACTCCATAAACAGCATGGAAGATGAAAATAAAATAAATAGAACTAATTACAGAATTGGGGAGCGAATAAAAACTTAAGGAAGTTTTGAAAGGTACAGATTTTAAATTAAAAGGTGATTTTAGGAGAAGTGGTACGTGTCCACTATCTCTACTTATTTTTAATTTGAGGAAGGGGAGAGTTGCAGTGATTTATTGACAGTTTTGTAGACCTATGCGTTTCTGTAACACAAAGTAAGTACATTTACTTTAAATTAAGTCAAAATATTCGGGACTCCAAATTATTATAAAGACATTGCTTGAGAAATAAAAAAATAAAAGCAAAAAAATAAAGCCATGAAACAAAAAATAAAAATTTAATTCAAAACGTATAGAAAAAGGTATTTCTGAAAAATATATATTTTGCCATTGTTGTAAACTGCTTGTCTGGCCCTCAGGGCCCGTTCACATATGTTCACACTATTGCGTTGAGGCATTTTCAAACCTTGTTTGCAGTGGCGGCGCGTCAATAGGGTCAACCGGGGCAATGCCCCGGTTGTTTTTTCGGCATAATAAAAAATATTCGAAATATACCTCAATATCGGTTGCACAGACTGTCTACACCAGCCATATTCTCCCGACATGGTTCATTTTTCGCTCGCAAAGCCTTCGCCGAACGGCGACGGGGCGACGCCCATTTATTTAGCAGATGACATGAAATTTCCACGCCATTGTTACGTAACAAGTGAACCGTGACACGCTGCGTTAACGCATTCGAAGTATGAACACCCTCAACGCAATTGCGCTGGATTACGTTCCAAACGCAACGCAAACCCATGCGTCAATGTGAACTGAGGAAGTCTGACTCTGGTCGGACGAAACGTTACAGTACCGTAAAAGCAGGTAACTTCGGATGATTTCACTATATTATGAACAATTTCTCCGCCGTTTATTGTTCAATTGAAGCCAAACTTGGAATATAATACATTGAAGCCTTTCTCCTCGCGATAAACTCGGTTTCATATCAATCAATACTTTTTTTCATTCAAATTATTGACTTTATTTGCCTGCCGATCTGTATTCCAAATGTTTATAACTTCGGATGGCCACTTTTCGCTTTGCGTCACTTCGTCGTGAGAGAGAAATGTCTGCGTGATCAGTGACGCGTGATAACGTCGCTGCGTAGAACTTACGACGTCGTGATCCGTTTTGCGTGTCGCACACTGACGTTCATCTATGCCGGCCGTTTTTGTGATTATTAATTCTTCCGGGTCGGCGGACATCAAAGTTTTATATATCTGGTGTACCCGTGTGTTTACATCGGCAACAGCTCTTGAAGACAAGAAGGACTGATTTCAAAACCCAAATTAATTTTGTTCTGATTTAATCTTATGTGTTGGCTTTGATCTTACTTATCACCGTTTGTATACTATTAATCGTTCGAGTTTAAAGCGAACGGTGATATTATTATCGTCGCCGAGATGGAGATATTTATTAAGACGATGATTGATGTTGTTATGCTTTGCACCCGCGATTGTGCGAATACTGAATTTTTATTTATAATAATGATTGAATAAATCGGCCGTTATGCATTTATACTTGTCATAAGGCTTTTGGTCCTGATAGCGGGTCGGACACTAATTATAACTATTTCCCTCAGGTTTTAACTTTTTTTTTGAACAAAACAATACCCCAACGGTTATTATAGCTAAAACCGTTACCGACTAATTCACAATTTTATCTGCGGAATTTGCGAACTCAGCACTTTACTCGACGATTTTGACAGTGTCGCGCCATAATTATTACCGCTAAATGCTTCAAAATACAACGCATGTAATAATTTTGCCCAGCCCTATTCCTGACGTTTCGCAAAACTAAACCATTTATCTCTTGACTATTCTTAATTTCATGAAAGTGCTATATCTTGCTATTATGATCGTTTCAATACGAAACAAAAATGAGACAACATGGGACAAATGAAAATAAAAAACGGACGAATAAAATAAGTCGTAAAAGTAAAAATGGAAAACAATTTTTAATACAAAACAAAAATGAAACGAATGAAAATAATAAAAAAGAAAAATGGATGATGAATTACGGTAGGTAGTAAAAGTTAAAAAAAATGGAAGTGGACAACAATATGGAACAGTGTAGCTTGTGGCCGTGTTGATAATTCAGATATAATGTATTCACAGGCAGATAGACATGAAACGGATAAAAACGCCAAAAACCTCCAACCTCCTGCTGTGTGCACCTGTGCAGAGTTTCATGCTCACCTGTGCAACATTCTACTCTTAATATATTATCATCGCCGATCGTAAAACCTTGTCATTGTGATAGTATAGATACGCGTATCTGGCTGTTCATCAGCCTTACGTATCAACAACATCTATACGGTCGAAGAATGCCGAAATGTTAACACACAAATTTAATGTGCATTAATCGGATTCACAATAAATAAACAGCATATGACCGGGGCTATAATTAAGTTTTTGTAGGATTTGGTGAAGAGGATCAGGTAGGAGTTTTCACTTTATATTTAACTACACGTGGCGCCACATAGTCTGGCGTTCAAATGTCGCAGCGAGTTACGCACGAGCTACGCAATGTGACGTCGGCCTTAAATGGAGCGAAATTGAATCACGTTGTTGACGTCACGTTCAGCGTAAGCACCGTAACGTCGATATTTTGACGAAATTTTTAAATCAAAATAATATATTTTACTTGAATCTCGTACGACATCTCGTGATCACTGTAATTTTCCTTGTACATTGTGTATGCCCTCTAGCGATTGACGGTCTTTTAGTGAAGTTAGCGTCGATAGAAGTCGCTATTTTAGCCGCTCAAAAGCGAGGTGTCAATTTTTGGCAAAAAGGTGATTTTTTGTGTCAAAAAATAAATCCTATTAGGCGACTGAATATGATAAGAGATTAAGATATATAAGGACTCTCTATAGAAACTGCCAGAAGCAGAATATGACGTAGTTTAGTCGAGATATAAACGATTGAAAATTTCATCCGAAGTTATAAACCATCCGAAGTTACCTGCGTTTACGGTAATACATTTGTGTTAGTGTGCAGCTGGACTTTTTATTTGGATAGAATAGTCATGTTTATTCCAGCTACAGTATCCTTGCAGTATACGGATCCACTAGCATAAAGGCATAGAGAAAAGATAGGAAGTTAGTCTCGCGCAACCCAACTCAAATTTCTGAAAATACTAACTGATTTTTCAAAACAAGAATCACGAGCTTGCTCACCAGATATAAGTTGTTTGAGGCTCTATATAACTTATTTAAAAGCGGCACTCAAAAAATCTAAAATAGGCAATTTTGCTATAAAAACATGAAACATCATTGTCTGTGATGTTTAAATATTGATCGTTATCAAATAAAAATTTTAATTTTAAAACCTGCTCAAGGGCGATACCTGGTGACCTAGTCTCAACGTCTCCATAGCGATATTCGATACATCGTTTCCTCCGATTTTTTGTTGGCTCGGTTTTCAATTTTTGGCTAATTTTATCATTAATTTCACCGTAAAATTATTTAAATAAAGATTTCAGGATGTCAGAAAGACGCGCACACGATATAGCTCAAGCGAAAGCTGCTAGACTTCTTCAAAAACGTACTGGAAGCGTCTCATCGAGTGAAAACATTGGTCCAGCTCCTCCGCATACGACACCAAGACGGCATGCAAGAGGGGGATATGCAGCGTAAGTTTTTGACTGATGTTGGTTTCCTTGTACACAATTAATGACGTTTTATGAATTTTAATAATATCTTACTCTGATATTTTATATAGAGCAAAACCACCATACTGCCATAAAAACTGGAGAATACCAGCATAAAGGATAGGGTTTACATATTTACCATATCCGGAAAAACGATAAGACGGCTTAATCATATGGCAAACCACAGCTTCTCGTCCGGTTACCAGTCTATGTTGGATATGGGATTAGTTATCTAGTTGTTTGTTTTTGGAAGCATAGACTAGATGGATGAGAAAACCGTACACGACCAGCGGTTACTACGTGAACCACCCGCGCGTAGTCAAACAATCCTCTTGCACATAACCATCCTGCATGAGATTCGAACCCGTGCCGGATAATCAGAGGTGCGATGGCGAGCGTATTCCTAATGCTCAGCACGAATTAATAGTGTTTGGTAATAGTTTCTAAACCCATAGGTGACTGACCATGTGAATGACTGAGTTAGGTCTCAGTAACAGTTATTTGACGACAATATTTTCCATTCAAACCACTCGATTCACTTAAGATTTTCAAAAATTGGTCTTATTTGTCTTGTTTCAAGTTTTTATCACAAAACAATCTAATCTAACAATAACTTTCCCAGGTCCGTCAGCACCGTCGTATCACGTATGGATCCCCACCATCTTGACGATGACATTCTGCTCTCGAAACCAATGCAATATGAGAACACCTACAGAATGGCACCGAAGAAAAAGTTTCCAACAAGTAGAATTGAAGGTTTGTTGCACAAAATTTTTTTCCTATTTCCTCTTATAAAAAGCCTTGTAAGAGCAACCTCTTATGCAGGCCCAAAAGTGGTTCCATTGGTGCTGCTCGGCAGTCTTATGATAGATTTTACATATTAATCTCAGGGAATAGGGAAGCCGTTGAAACAGCTTAACCATATGGCAAACCATGGCCTCTTGTCCGGTTACCAGTCCTTATCGGGTATGGAATTAGTTAGCCAGTTATTTGTTTCAGATGCATTGAGTTGATGGTAAGGGAATCCATAACCAACTAGTGGTTACGTGTAACACCTTATGGCGGCAAGGAGTCCAGAAATCCTTTCACAGATAATTATTCCCCACAGGTTACGAACCTGTGAAACCACGCATAATCAGAGGTGCGGTGGAGAGTGTATTGCTAAGGCTGTAGCACAATGCGTCACACCATCCGGGTATGAGTTTGTTTGCCTTCAAGCTTATTATGACTTTGGAAGTTCACCATGTTTTTTACGTAAATATTTTTGCCTCAGAAACGCAGCATGATATGGATGACCTATTGGGATTTTGGAAGTTCACGTTTTGTTGCGTAAAAAGTTATTTGAGGTCAATTAGAAATTGTGTTTGCGTCAAAAATGTAGCATGTTATGAATGAACTACAAGCTTTCTAAAATACACTTCCGAAGACGGAAACCACCAATTGAGTTTGTTTACAAACCAGCTGATCGCGTTTTAATAAACCCACTTTTTTAAGTTTTAAGTATCAGGGGTTCGCTGGCGAGCGTATTCATAAAGTTAGCATGATGCGCCACATCATTGAAGACTCAGGTCATCTAAATGAATTCACACTTGTCATCAAATGACCAACTCATCTTAGATGACCTGTGATTCTGGGTTTGAGCAATCATAAAGATCACTTAAAGTAAGGGTGCAAGCTTTAATATAGAAGGGCCAAATAGAAATAACTGGGTGAAACCGCGGGCCGCACCTTCATTTAACATAGGCTATCTAGTAGTTGCAGGCACAAAAACTTTAGTTATTGATCTTAAGACATGTGTTGTTTGCACAAGGTAGCTGCTAAGGCATTGTAAAGTCATTGGCATAGATCAGCAGTTTTTCAAACTGTGTGCCGGAGATTCTCAGGTGTGCCGCGGAGGTATTTGGAATTTTAGAAAATAAGGTATTCGTAGTACACATAGACATGCATGCAACGGGATTGGGATTACTTGCACATATCGAATAAAATTGAAAACGCGTTTCATGGGCCGCACATCATTCAAAATTGGCACTTCTCGGTGGTCTACACAATTTTTTCTTGAGGGCCGCATTAGGCCCGCCGATTGTACAATTTGACTTGGAGTATAACACTTTAAAACTTTTTTCCAGCGATTATCAGTGACGCCCTTACAAGCTACCTTCACCCAGACATTGAGTATGAGCCTGAACATTGTCGTGATCTGACGAAAACTATTTCTGAAGTTATCAAAGCTCGAGTGAAAGAAACTGTTCTTCCGAGATACAAAATTGTCTGCGTTGTCAATATTGGACAAGTCAATAGCCAGGTTGGTATTGAACTTTAAACAGAGTAATTTATTATTTCACTCTAATAAAAATATAATTTCTTTTTATGGTATCCCCGAAGTATGTGAACCTAGATGGCGGACACCGTAATGTAGTATGTGTACCAGGTTAGGCAATAATTTCAGGTATAAATACTACGGGAGTCACTTGGCTAGTCCCCGAACTCGTAATAAAACTAAAATAAGGAAAATTAGAATTAAATTATGGCCTAACCCTAACTTGGTACAAATACTACGTTCCAGTGTTCGCCATCTTGGTACGCATACATTTAGGAGTACCCGTTTTTGGACGCCTCGCTTAGGATGAACATAGAAATCAAAAACAAAACTATCTTATCCAAACAATTTATTGAACATTTATTCAGAGAGGAAAGTCTATAAGAAGGCAAATCTGTGGTAAAATTTGGCCTGGACCTTTCTATATAGCTTCCGATCGGCCTGTCGGTATGCCGCATTGTGCTAAACATTAGGAATACGCTTGCCACCGCACTTTTGATTTCCCTATGTTGGTTCGCTGGTTCGAATCTCTTGCGGGAATAATTATGTGCGAGAGGATTGGTGAACTCAGTGCCGCCGTAGGTTGGTTTACGCAATCGCAGCCTACCGTCCGGTTACCTGTACATGTAGAGTATAGGATTAGTCAGCCAGTTGATTGTTTCACATGCATGGACTTGATGACGTAGGAAGCCGTAACCGACCTGCCGCCCTACGATAGCAAAGCTATAGCTGATAGCTATGATAGAGTCCAACAATCGACACGCACATAGGATAGGATTTACATGTTTATCCCGGGGGAGAGAAAAGCCGATAAGTCGGCTTAATCATATGGCGAACCACGGCCTCTCGTCCGGTTACCAGTCCAGGTCGGTATGGGATCAGTTAGCCAGTTATTTTTTTTCGGAAGCATGGACTTGATGGTGGAGGAAGCCGTAACCGACCAGTGGTTACGTGAACCACCCTACGTCGGCGAGGAGTCCAGCAATCCTCTCTCACATGTGCATCCCCGCATGGGATTCGAACCTGCGATTTCACGAAGGGTAATCAGAGATGCGGTGGCGAGCGTATTCCTAACGCTTAGCATATTTATATCGATCAGGATTCAAACCCACACAGGAAAATCAGAGGTGCTATAGCCTGCGTATTCCTAATGCTTGGAATGGAGCCAATCAAAAAAGCTCTAAAATAACCTGACAGCTTATGAGGTTAATTTAATTACAGGGTCTTCGAATGGGAAGCCGTTGCTTATGGAATGCTGAGCACGATACATTTGCTTCAGCGTCATTTAAGAATGGATCAGTATTTGCAGTCGGAAACGTGTATGGGATTTATTATGAGTGAAAAGAGACTAAGGGGTTAAAGGTCAACTCTGAACCCTCTTACTAGTGTAGTCAGTGTTATTTGGTATATTTTAGATTATGTTGGAAACCTATTGTGCTGTTGAGTGCTGTATCAGCCCTCAATGTACTCCACATTCAATGGGTTAGCACGTAAAATTCAGTCTAGCGTACCTATTTCTGACTCCCAGCTTTAGTTAGAAATTTGGAATATGCGTGTAACTTTGCTCAGAAATGGGTGTCCTTTACTTCTGAGTGAGTGCCCGCAATTTTTCTGAAAGCTGAGTCTCGTTTACTTTTGAGTTAGTGCTTGTAACCCATTCAAAGTCAAATTTTATTCACCTCTGAGTGAGTGTGCGTAACTTTGCTCAGTGATGAGTCTCATTTACTTCTTGAGTGAGTACCTGTAAATTTGCTCAGAGATGAGTCTTTTTTACTTCTGAGTGAGTGCTTGTAACTTTGCTCATGAAAATTGAATTTTAAACTACGGTAACTCATTGTATCCGCTTTCTACATGCTTCTAGAAGGCCCTCATAAAACTACATCTGCTACCAAATGAGTGCTCCAGCCTATGCATACCTAATGAAATCTCGAATTATCCAATATTTTGCTACCTTTACTTTTATGTGTAATCATTTAAAAATCAAATTTTGTACTTTATTGTTCATATTTTAGAATCAATTTGCACAAAGAGTAGCAAGATGCATTTTAGGGGTTACTGCTGCCTTTTGTGAGGACTATTTTGTATCAACCATAAGTTATGAATCCCACTTCATTTGCCCAAAGTTTTATATCTATCCTAACCCAGAGTATACGTGAATCCCACTTCATATGTTCACTTTAACCATTTGCCTCAAGTTTTATATCTATCTCAACCCAGAACATCCCACGAATCCAACTTCATATACTTACTTTAACTGTCAGTTGGTCCTGCAAAGTGTTCCTTGCAAAAGGCAGAAACCCGTTTAGTACTGTAGTATGTACGTGTTTTTGTTTTATTTATGTATTTGTTACATCACAATTCTTGTTCTAATTTTCAATTGTGGAAGAGTTGCAATTATGACATCACACTGCTAACTGATGACACCTCTCTTCTGTATCGTCTTCTGTGCCTAATTAACAGCGATAATTTTCAGTGCCAAATTTTTGTAAATTATAGATAAAATTAATCATGTATTTAACCAAAAATTAATGTAATTTTTATGATTGTTTTTAGAAAATTAAAGTCTTGAAAAAATTAAACTTGTTTTTGTGTCAGGGGGTAGATGGCGCACTAGAGCTTCTGTAATTGATAGAATATGATTTTCATATTTATCCCCGGGAAGAGGGAAGTCGAAAAGCTTGATCATATGGCAAACCACGGCCGCTTATCCGGTTACCAGTGCATGTTGGGTATGGGGTTAGCCGGTTATTTGTTTCAGATGCATGGACTTGATGGTGGGAAACGCCGTAACTAATCATGATTACTCCCACAGGATTCGAACACGTGGACCCGCGCAGGGTAATTAGAAATGCAATGGCAGACGTTTTCCTAATGCTTATTAGCAGGTTGCGTCAATCGCCGTGCAAAAAATCTGGGCTGGGGAGCCGGGGAAATTTAAAATTGAATTCTCTTGGAAAATATTTCGACCTAATCCAGCCCCCAGAAAATGAAATTTGACAACAAAAAATTTGAGTATGCAAGCAAAGAAGCCTGAGAGCAAAGAGCCACACGGGAAGCACGTTGTAGGAGAAAGTTTGTTGCTTGATTTCACGATATAATAATACAAACGTTTCACCCTTACTTGACCTTCAATTCATTTTCACGCGCTCCAGAAGTATGTACCAATATCAATATGGAAGAAACTGATTTTATTTGCCTATGTTACATCAAGTTGTGTAAAGGGGACTGAAATCTATGGGCAGAAGATACATTTTCTTGGCTAACACAGACAGTCCCCGAACTTCTATTACAACTAAAACAAGGAATATCGGAATAAGATTATGGCCTAACCCACACACTATGGGAGTACCGGTAAAACATTTTAATCTTATGAAGAACTCTAAACATAATTTTGGTTGATTGAATATTAAAACTTTGTTATTGCATCAATGTTTCAATATCTGATAAAACTTAATCAAAGTTTTAGCTATGTATATTCATCAACTATTGCTTATGAAACTTGCTGTTTTCATCGAGCTTGCAACTATAAGGTAATATTTTAAATGACTATAGAATGTATAGACTATAGACTATAAATAAAATTGAATTTTTGATCTGAGATTTATTGTTCATCCAATATTAACAGTGGTACTTCGGGTGTCTCTGCTCGATAACCATTTTTGGTTCCCCTCGACTTCCCTTCCCCAGTAAAACTGTGTACTATTTTCTTGTAATTTGTGCTTGTGTTATTTATTTATTTTTTACTGGTTGGAGAAAAAAATAAACTTGATTGATTATGACGAACCAGGCCGTCTGGTTACCAACTTACCAGTGCAAGTCGGGCATCGAGTCTGTGACTGATTAATTAACGAATTATTTATTTCTGATAAATGAAATTAAAAATAATATAGACACACAAAACAATAAAACAAAAGCTGAAATCCTGTTACATTACACCCGGACACCTTTATATGTATAGATGTCCATGATAATTTTTCAAAGTTGCAAGGGGAATTTATCGATAACAAAATTAAAATTATAAAGGGACTTTATGTACATCGAAAAAGAAAGAGAAAGTGCATTGAAATTAAAGTCCTTGAAATTACTGTCAAGTTATAAGCTGGTTTCATATTTCACAGATGACACCGGACAAAAACGAGGTTGGAGGGTTATTGTACACTCCCTGAAGTACTTTCTCTGGATTTCTATTGACAATGATACCAATGTTTTCCCATGATGGATAAGATGTCGGAAAAGAGGACGTCCAAGCTTCCGTTTCTATGGTGATTGTTCGTCCATTGGACAACCATAGCTGATTGTTCTGAAACTATTAAATTTTATTTTATTGTCAAAATAATTGACATATTAGATGAGGAATGAAAATTCACTTATACCGTATTTACGGGCTATAAGGCCGTCAAGAAATTGCTTAGATTGGGATTTCTCCGATATGGCGTGCGTAGATTGGTATTGGACAAGGCGCGACGGGAATTAAATAGATAATGGAGAGGAAAGCCGGCAAGACGGCTTAACCATATCGTCCATATGGCGAACCATGTTACGTGAACCACCCAACGGCGGCGAAGAGTCCAGCAATCCTCTCGCACATAACTATCCCCGCATGGGATTCGAACCTGCGAACCCACCACGCAGAGGAGCGGTGGCTAGCGTATTCCTAACGCTTAGCACGATGAGCCGCAGCGACGCTCCTCACCACATCATACTGACCTTATACTTCATTCCTGTCCAGACGATAGTAGATGACTGGCCAGCAAGAATCATTGAACGCAAATAGGAAATCAACAACTGATATTGAGCAGGGTCGTAAATATTCGCCGGTTGTCCGTTGTTCATTTGTCCGCAAATGGATTTAGCTATGTTGAAGGTTACGTTATTTATACCATACACGACTGCTCGGTAGCACTTGGAACCGTAGAAAACGCCACATTTATCTGAAAACAACATTGTTGGTCCTCCCGTAGTATGTGAACAAAGATGGCGGACACCGGAACGTAGTATATATGTGTGTACCAGGTTGGGGTTAGACCATAATTTTATTCCAATTTTCCTTATTTTAGTTCTATTACACGTGTTGATCTCATGAAATTCCATGAGTCGGTTCTATAGAATCCCACCACTGCTAACCTGGTACACATACTACGTTAAAGTGTCCGCCATCTTGGTTCACATACTACGGTAGTACCCATTATTGTGATCAAGGAGCTGAATGGACTAAGCTTGGGGTGCGGTAGTCACAGCCAACGGCCAGCAACCAATTTGCCTAATGTTAAACAAGGTCATGGACGCCATCTTGTGCCATATTTGGCAAACGCGAAACAATGGAGTCTTATGGGAAATTTCCGTCGTGTTGTTGTACCGAATCGAATAAGTCCGATGTTATAAGGGCTAGAATGAAACCGAAGGGTGGATTTTGAGTTTTAAGATATATGCTATCAATATATATACCTCAATTAGGAATAAAAAACTATCTAATGCGATAAATTCGACCACAAACACAGCGTAGAACCATTTTTGGTCATTTTCTCAAAGATTTTATAGTGATACGCCAATTTGAGGCTGACAATCCTACAATGTCATTTGTTCTTCTAGCGCAGCTTGGAGCTGAGCAGTAGGGCGTTATGGGGCTTGACAGACGAAAAATGTTAACCAGAAAATAGAAACGGCCATTGAAGCGAAGTTGGGTCGGCCGGCAATGTCGACGAATAAATACAACTTTTCATCTGTGACGTCTGAGCGTTGCCTCGCTTATATTATATATACGCTTTGGTCACATCAAACATTATGTTTGTGGCCATCAAGCGGTCACTTTTACGTCGATGGAGTGCGTGGAAGTATTTCTCTATGACTCCGCACGTGCCTCAATCGAGCGCGAATATAGAAACGCCAAAAAAAAACGAGACGCGCCACTCGGCCAATCAACGACCAACGAGGTGTCGCTATACGTTTAAACGATGGATGAGCCATTCCAAAAAACGAATAGGAAAATTGTGCCTAATATTTGAAATTAAAAATTGCTATTTCTTCTCCAAAGTTTCGTCATTGGATCTGGATTTCAAATTTTCGGTTTCGGTCGTTTTTTCGTTTTGATCAGACTCAACTATTCTAGGGAGAGAAAAGCCGATAATACAAACTAATCATATCAGAACGACAAGACAAATCTTTTTTAGATGTGAAAATGGCTCGCAAGTTCAGATGTGTGTTTGGTTGACAAAGTCGCAATTCTAGTGGCTTGATCACCATACTAGGAAAAAAAATCTATGACTTAGTGGTCAAAGCGTTTATACCTAATTGACACCATAGGTTCGAGATGTTGTGTTCGAATCTCAGATCTACTACTTCATCCACTACTCACAAACAATAGGAGTGATACAAAGAGATCGGAAGCTCCCAGGGACTGTATTGCATACTTATTTGGCGCTCTCGTTGTATTTGTACCAAATGACGCACAACCTGCTACCCTGGTCCGGTACACATGATATGTTCAGGTTGTGCGCCATCTTGATACGAATACAACGGGAGCGCCAAAATAGGTATGCAATACAGACCCTGAAAGCTTCCGTTCTCTTGGTAATATTTCAGTTTCTTACATACAAGTGGGCGGGTTTGTGATGGTCAAATTAGTCAAAGTTAAATTATCAAATCACAGAAGTATAAATTACTTTCAGCTTTTTTCTTCTCTTCGATACTCTTCTTGATCTGTCTGGCAATTTCTGTAAAACATTTTTGTGAGTAGGGTAAAGTATTTTATGCCAACGAAAAAATAAATTATGCTGTCACGATGCATTTTTAAGGAATATGGCAGGTCTATCATGATGCCAAAATACATTTATCAAATTTGGAACATGACGTCACCAATGCATTTCACGTTGTATATTATGCCGTCAGAAGTTGTATATCAAAACGCAAAAAACGTCTCAAATAAATAAAAATGGAATGACTTGTCATGACGGTTTAGGGATTTAAACTGGAGCTCCAGAAGTGTGGTGTGTACCAATATGTAGGTAACTAATTTTATTCGCCTACTTCACACCAAGTTGTGTACAGGGACTGAAACCTATGGGCATGGGGTATATTCACTTGGCTAACACAGACAGTCCCAGAACTCGTAATAGAAATAAAATATGAAAATCGGAATAAAATTATGGCCTAACTCTAACCTGGTACCAAACATTGGCAGTAACAGTCGAAACGTGACTTACCTTAAGCCCCAAAAGAAAATTTTTACCCATGTATGAGTCAAATTTTCATTTTTAACGCCACAATTATTTTAGGTCACGGAAGTAAATAATTTTCGAACCCAAAGTGAATCATGCAGTAAGGCGAACTCACCAGATCCATCGTTTTTCTGGGAAATAAATACAAAATGGAGATGATTAATAAAGTGATTTCAACATAAAAGCTATTTTAAATTACGTTAGTTTTGTCAACAGCTAATAGAGACCAAAGTTTGAATTACGGAGAGCGATAGCTAGCTCTATGATGTCCAACCTTTATTACAGGAGGGTCAGATACAAGTGAATGAGTAAACCTCGAGCCGCACCTTTATTTATGATAGCCTTTCTGGTAGTTGTAGGGTTCTAGATTAGACGTATTAGATTAACTAAACTAAAAAATAGTTTCGCGGGCACATCATTCAGAATTGGTACTCCTCCGCGGGCCGCACAATGTTTCCTTTCGGGCCAAAGCTTGCACACCCCTGCACGAGCTCAACGTTTCCTAATCGGAAGGGAATTTTGTCTTTTTGGGGAGGAATTTTCTTTGTATTTGCTTTAGTGATACTAATATTTCAACACTAAACTACTGCATAAATGTATACAAGCGGGAGTCGACTCGCGCATTAACACCAGTTAAGCATCCATAATAGATTGAATAAATAAAGTTGTTTTTACGAATAGTTAGCGAGGAATTGAGAGTTCCAAAATAGATGAATTGGGGGGTTCACGACAATATTGGGAACCACCCGACTATGGTGTTAAAATCTCATGACTAATACCTGGCATTGAGTATATTGAATATGCAATTCAAAACCGAAAGAATTCCGGTTCTTCCAAAAATAAGAACTGTTTAAATGCCATATTTGGAGGACAGGTATAAAAATATATAATGAAATGGTAACTTCCATTTTACCTCGCAATCTCCAACTTGGACCAGTTTTCCCTTCACGATTTTGGAATAGCAGGTTCCAACTGTCAAAAATAAAACGTGGTATTTTACAAGGCAGCTCAAATGTATGAACGCGACGGGAAATGATTTATATAAACAACATAATCCAGTGAACTTCGATCAAAATTGAAATAATAAAATACTGGACCGAATGTCATACGGAAGTGACCCTTCTAATTATATACCAGGAAATGGTGACATATAGAGTAGGAGTCTGACGGGATCGCTGGGTTACGGGTTGAGTTTGATATATTATTAAAAAATCTCTCGTATACCAGCGATGTTAGTATCAGAAGTCAGGGACAGAAGCAAACAGACATTGCGCCACCCAAATTGCTGAATATCTTCTTCTATACCTTCTTGACATTTCTGTTGTCGTCCACCCCGTTTATTAAGAGTGAGTGCCCGTAACCCTGCTCAGAGATGAGTATCCTTTTCTTTTGAATGAGTGCCCTCAAACTTGCTAAGAAATGACTATCCTTTGCTTGTGAGTGGGTCCCTGTAACTTTGCTCAGTGATGAGCGAGTGAGTCCCTGTAACTTTGTTTAGAAATGAGTACCTTTTGCTTCTGAGTGAGTGCCTGTATCTATGTTCAAGAGATGAGTATCCATTGCTTCTGAGTAAATGCATGTGGCCTTATATTGGACAGACTCCTTTGAAAACAACAACCGGCTTCGAAGTATTTGTTTTGGAGGAAAATCTAACCAGGTTAATTCTCTGCAAGCAAGCAAGTGATGCATTGTCTTTATAAAATATTCCAGGAACCCCATTCTCAATTTGACTTTACACGCGACTGAGGTAGAATCGAACAGATATTTTCCTCTACGCCAGGTGTGTGCAACCTGCGGCCTGCGGGGCCAAATGCGACTGACATGAAGAATTGTGCGTCCCGCAGAGAAGTGTCAATTTTGAATGTTGAGTTTTTAATTTAGTTTAATCTGGTATGTTTGTGTAATTCCCTTGTGTTGTAAAGTCTATACCTGAGTCCAATTTATGATTATCTATACCTATGACAACACAACGCTCTAACAGCTAGCTTGTGCGAAGCAAACAACACATATTATAAAATCAATTATCACAATTTTTGGGCCTGCAACTACTAGAAAGCATATGTTAAATAAAGGTGCGGCCCGTATTTTCACTCACTTATTTGTATCTGGCCCTCCTGTATTAAGGTTGCACACCCCCGGTCAACGCCAAAACAAGTAAATAATGCGACAAATATAAATGCAGATTAGTAATCAAATAATCACACGTTAGCAATTTCGCAATAATTACCAAAAGCAGACACAAAATCTTACCGGGTAATGTTAGCTCCGCAATCGAGCCACAGATGAGAGAAAGAAAGAAAAGTGTTTTGACGAAGTCCATGTTTGCTTCTAGGGTTTGATGGCACAACTAAGTGCTTAGATATAAAGAAAGTACTGTAAAAACAATTCAAGAATATTTCAAATTCAGTCATATTCAGAAAATAAGACGCAGTATTATTTTCGGGGAAACACAGTAGTTAGGGCTACCTTTATGATTTATGTCAGGGGTTGGCAACCTACAGCCCGCGACGCTTCACTGAATTATAGTAACAAAACAGCTGTTTTGACGATTAAATTCTTTACATTACAGAATTTATTGCGAGACACGGATAGACTATATTATATCGTAGTCTAAGTATGAAATTCACAATTACTCGTTTAATGAGCCGATAATTTAATTACAATTAGACAAATGGCAACAAAATGCAGAAAAGTTGATGCTAAGTGCAAAGGGTTCAATGACGCCGAAAATATTCAAATGGAATTTTTTGAGATGCAATGCAATGAGGAAAAAAAATTTATATTCTATTCTATTCGAGCAACGGTGCACAACCTGCGGCCGTCGCGAAAAAAAAATGCGGCCGTCCACATACAAAATCCTATGAAAAAAAAGTTCAAAATATAGGATTTGGCGGATATGCTGGCGTATATTGAAGCAAAACAGAAGCACTGCAAAAAAGTCAGACGACACGATGCGTCACAATCTAGATCAGGCCTGGGCAAGCTCCGGCCCGCGGGCCGCATCCGGCCCGCGGGCCGCATCCGGCCCGCGGCAACGTTTCATCCGGCCCGCGAGCAGATTTCTAAATTAAGACACTTACATTTTTTATTTACATATAAAATATACTTTGAGGGCAAATTTCATTAATGTAATAGAAATAAGCGTTTTGGTAGCTTTGTGTATTTTAGATTAGACCATGGCATAGTACCAACTGCTATCTGTAGTCATCTTTGTCGCAACGATCAGCGCTTGTTTTTGCACGTGATTACTGAACAGCAGAGAAATCGAAGCGTGAATTTTGCGCGCGTAATTTCGATGAGTCGCGTTTTGATTCGTGTCCCAATTAAGAAGGATACAGTTAGGCTAGTCAGCTCTGCGCTACTCAGCGTTTCAAATATTGTAGAAGTAGTGGTATGTAGATAAATTGTTGAATTGCGCCCAGCTTTATTTTATTCTTTGTTTATCCTTTTATTTATGTAACTTGAACTGTAGCGTCAATTCTAAACCTGTGCTAGATCTACAAAGTTGCAAAATGTCAGCCGAAAACAAGAAAAGAAAAGTTGACACAGAATGCAGAATTTTTAACAAAAGTTGGACAGCGAAGTATTTATTCACAGAAGTCGATGGGATAGCTGTTTGTCTGGTTTGCAAGGAGAAGGTCGCGGTTATTGAGGTTTTTAATTTAAAAAGGCATTTTGAGACAAAACATGCAAAAAAATACAAAAATCTAAGTAATAATGAAATGGCGCAAACAGCGGAGAGTATGGTAGCAAAGCTCGAAAAACAGCAAAGTTTTTTCACACGACTCCATGCATCTAATGATGCAGCTGTCATGGCCAGTTTCGTAATAGCTCACAAAATCGCTCAAAACAGCAAACCATTTTCTGAAGGGGAGTTCGTCAAAGAATGTTTAGTAGAGACGGCAGCAATTGTTTGTCCTGATAAAACAGATGCTTTTAAACAAGTTCCGCTATCGAGAAGAACTGTCACCAGAAGGGTTGAGTGTATCGCAGGAGATTTAAGAGATCAGTTGCTACATTATGTCAAACAATTTGACTTCTTCACTTTAGCGTTAGACGAGAGTTGTGATGTACGTGACACTGCTCAGTTGCTTATTTTCGTTCGTGGAATTACTTGTGATTTCAAAATTACTGAAGAAATAGCTGCTATAAGACCAATGAAAGAAACAACAACAGGTGCAGATATTTTTAGCGAGGTAGATGCATCCATGGATAAGTTGGGACTTAAATGGGAAAAATTGGCGGGAGTGACGACAGATGGGTGCCCAAATCTTACAGGAAAAAATGTGGGATTGTTGAAGCGCATGAAAGACAGAGTTAATGAAATTGACCCAAAGCAGCAGTTAGTGTTTTTACATTGTATCATACATCAACAGGTATTGTGCAAGTCAGTGCTAAAAATAAGCCATGTCACTGATGTTGTTACAAAACTAGTTAACTTCATCAGGTCTCGAGCACTAAATCACAGACAGTTTATTTCCCTGTTGGAAGAGCAAGAAAATGAGCACACTGACATAGGATATCATACAACTGTGAGATGGCTCAGTTTAGGCAAAATACTGAAGCGAGTTTGGGACTTGCAGCAGGAGATTCGAGAATTCTGTCAAACAAAGAACAAGGATATTCCGCAGCTTTCAGATAAGAAATGGTTATCTGATTTTGATTTTGTTGTTGATGTCACTGCTCTATTGAATGAGTTGAATTACAAACTCCAAAGTAAAAAACTGTTTGTGCATAATATGCACAGCTTGGTAAAATCGTTCATAACGAAATTGCAGTTTCTTTCACGCCAATTACAGAACAATAATCTCGCTCATTTTCCCACACTCAACACAGCTACCACATCTGCAAATGATTTTCAAAAGTACTCTACAATGCTAGATGCACTGCATGCTGAATTTTTAAGACGATTTGAAGATTTCCGATTAATTGAAAATAAAATGAGTATGGTCTCTTCTCCTTTCACCAGTAACGTGGAAAACATACCATCTGATGCACAACTCGAGCTTATTGATTTGCAGTGTGACACTTTACTTCAGGAAAAATTTAAATCATCTGAAATTCTGGATTTTTATTCCTCTCTAAATAAAAAAAGTTTTCCCAACATAAGGAGACATGCTCAAAAGATGCTAGTTCTTTTTGGATCCACTTATATTTGCGAGCAAACCTTCTCAGTAATGAATTTTACCAAATCGAAATTTCGGTCGTCTCTCACCGATGAACATCTTTCTGATTTGCTGAGAATATCTACGTCTGCCATTGAACCCGACATTCAAGGACTTGTTAAGACGCAGCAGAGCATACACACGTCTCATTAAAAATAACAATTGTATTAGATTTTGTTTCATTCAATTGTGTAATAAAATACAATAAAAAACGCAATGTGGGTTGACTCAAATTAGTCCGGCCCGCCACTGCATTTTGATTTGCAATGTGGCCCTCGAGCAAAAATAATTGCCCAGCCCTGATCTAGATGGTGTATTTGCTGCCAGTTACCTCACTTTGCAAGTTTATCTGCCCACATGCAAGACCAAAGGAGTCATTAAATTGCTACAATTCTTTGCAAACGTTTATAGAATAAATTCATAAAAATATTTGACTTTTTATTATACTTTTGGGGACAAGAAAATGGGGGCGACCACCCCTCCCCGACTTTCGATTTTTTTCAAAATTGTGCAACCATTATGCAACTTCCAGAATATATCTGCTCTAGAATAGGTCCACCGAAAAAAAAAATCCTATTAAAATGCGAATATTATACTTCCAAGTAGTCCTACTTACTTCATAATTGGGCAGAGTGCACCTCGCAAGGGTCAAATACGCGGTCATGACGTCATAAAGCCAAAAAATTTCGCGCTATTAACCTCCTGGCGGCCGTATTGTATAAAAATAAATGCAATGTGGCCGCCAATAGCAAAAAGGTTGTGCACCCCTGTATTCGAGCAATAAAAGGTTGACGACTTATGTGATGCAGCTATTATAGCACAACGCGTGTACCACTGTCTAACTTTTATTTGTGCACTTTCTTCTATTCTCCACCATCCGCAACTGATACAGAGGTTCTTAACTAATGGTAAATCCGCATCTGGAGTACCACACATTTGAGAAGGGTATATTTTACTCTTTTAGTATAAATATAGACTAATCAAATGCTGCCTCACCAATTGAAATACTTTCCTATAAAGAATCGCTCCGTGTTTCTCGCTCTTAGTTACTTTACGTTTGAAGTCTGCCAAAAATTGACGAGAGAATAACGCTTGACAACACCTGATTTAATACCGACCTCGGTTCATTAAATTGTGATAATAATTTTGATGGCTATTCTAAAAAGTCGTGCTTAACGTCACTTTTCTTTGCTGTTGTATTTTATACATGAAGATATGAAACCAGCTCGCACCACGTAGCAACGTAACTTACACATCTATTGTAATTGAGATACCGGACACGATTAAAAATCTCGTTAAAGATTAGCGTGCAGTTAGTTTATTGGAAAGTTATCGAGTACCTAAATCACCCACCAGCCGCGAGTCTATCACGGGCCACCCCAGTCTCAAGTCAAGTCAATCACTGGGTCATAGGAGCAGCCGGGGGCGGGGATGAGTTGGGATGGTTAGAGGGGCCACATATTAATACGAGCAATATTCAAATCATCGAAAAACGTGCACTATCTTTTCGGCATTTTGAAAAATTTAACGGCAGTTCAGCTAACCTCAGGTGTTAGCATATAACAATTATGACATAACAATATAGTAGTTCTCTCCCTTTTTCTCAATGAACAAGTGCGGAACGTCACAAATCACTGATAACTAGACTGGCCCTGTTAAAATTTTTTGTATTAAAATCAAATAAAAAAACAAATTTTCGACTGCCCTACGACATGACCAGAACATTTAAGCCTATCGGACGTGTCAAAATGTGGACTGTCCCTGCTAAGCCGGGACGTATGTTAAACCCCGGTGGAAGCCTCTTTCTAATTTTGTTTTTGCTTTTTTTATTGCTTTTTTTTCAATTTTGCCTCTTTTTAAAGCTTGTTGTCGTAGACTCGTGATGATCATTTCTGGTCCTTCGCGACTTTCTGTCAATTGCGATAAAATCCGGTAATGTAATGTAAAATAATTTATGTTCTGATTTCTTGCACGACGAAATAAATTTATTGTCTATTGTCCCTAAATCCCGAGTAGCGATCAATATATATATCAAAATATATCGCGCATCTAGATTGTAAAGAAGGGTCAATAAACTTATTTGACTTCCTTTTTTTGCCGATGAGATTCTGAAAATCCGACGCCGATTTTTCAGGCCTGGTAGGGAAGTCGTTGTCGTTGTCATCCCACCGCAATTAAAAAAGGAGTTTTCGAAACGAAATCATTTTTAAATAAATGTTTAGTTTTATTCGTTACAATGATGATTAATAGAAAGCAATGAAAAATATATTTACACCCAGTATTTTGTCATAATATAAAATCAAAAACACTTTATATGACGTAACAATGAGAATAATTTTACAACAATTGTTTCAAATTATGATATAACAAAGCTAAGCAATAAAACAATGAAAATATTCTAAAATGGCACAAATTGGCGCCAAAACACTGCAAATTAATTCAAATCTTAGCTATAAAGTAAACAATATCATGATAGCAAAATAAAATAAGAAAAAACAAAAAAGGGCAATGAAACACAAATTCATAATAGACAATAAATCTTATATTACATACAGAAAAAGTATCGAAATGAATAAATGATAGACAAGTCCCATTTTCATCATGGCACTGTCATGCTCATATTTTGGTACTCCCGAAGTATGTGTACCAGGTTAGGCTATGTTTTTATTCCAATTTCCTTATTTCAGTTCTATTACGGGTTTGAGGACCGTCTGTGCTAGCCTCTTTACACAACTTGATGTACAGTAGACGAACAAAATGAGTTACCTCCATATTGGTGCACATACTTCTGGAGCGCCCAAATTTCAATATTTCTCTACCCAAATGAAAGTGTTAATACTGCTATTGTATATGTGTATGCGTTTAGGGTTACAGACACTGTTTTATCACATTCTAACAACATGATTAATTATTTCTGTATTTATAGATTAACGCTCTAGGGTTTTAAATACTGATATCGGTCTCTTAAGCGCGTCGTTGATAAACATGCATACGCACTCGAGTCTGCCTCGGAACGTTTAGTCCTGACATGGGCAAACTATGGCCCGCGGGCCAATTCCGACCCGTTGGGTAATTCAATTTGGCCCGCCTGATGCTGTCACAGCCGAACCAAACTAATTTTTGACGTTTTAGGTAAAAATAGCTGAAGGAATTTATTACGATTACGATATTGTTCATAAAATGTAACTTTTCACGTCACACTTACCTGACCTGTCAGTTTAGGTGGGCGAAATTTTCTGCCCGTGGTCCTAAAACCTTATGTCCGAAACCCTCTGGCCTAGATACTAGCTAGGTCTTATTGCGAGTTTGTTAAAACAAAGCGAATCAAGTTAACTTCATTTGTGAGGTAAAATATTTTTACTGTGCAAACACATTAACAGAAGTCAAACCTTTCAAGATCCCCCGTAACTCCTGTCACTTAATTTAAGGATAAAATGTGGAATGGGATTCATAATATGTTCTGAGTTGGGATAGATCTAATACTAGTAGTAGTTCTCACAAACGAATGGGAGGGGGGGGGAGTAGATGGTGACCGTGCATTTGAACCCATACATTTGCACCCGTATATCCGCGGGTTCAATCTATATGATGGGGCTAAAATCAGCAGCATTTTTGAGACAACCTAACTTGAGTAAGTTTTAGATTTTTGATTTTTTGTTATGCTTTATGTGATGATGCGTATACATTGTGTTGACAAATAAATGATTTACTAGAAGGGTAGCTCACTGATTATAGACAGATTTACTATAAAAATTTCACTAAACAGCGCAAAAAGCTAAAAAAAGGAAATACCATGACGGTTGCACTCAAACTATTCAAATCATTTTGGCGGGAAAATATTATGACGTCACAATTATTTACAATTCACAGTGGAATATGTAAGGATTGTAGCCATGGATTGAATAATGTAAGATAGATACTAGAACAACCCTGATTTTATATATGAAATTGTGACTTAACAATCGTTGGGCTAGTTTAATTTTTGTAGCGGATTTGCGATTATGACAACACACTCATGACACTTTTCTATTGTTGATGTGCCCGAGAGTAATATAAGCATAATATCCATGATCTAAGAGCGGGGAAATTTGTGTAATGTTTGTTATGACGCAATAAAAGTATCTTTGTTGTGACGAAACAAAGCGCTTCAGGCACGAAAATGGTTAGAAATGGAACAAATAGTAGACATTGTCTTAGCGCATCGACATCATGATCGAGCAGTATTCGTCTTTGGAACTTTTATAGGATTCCTAGCCATGACGTCATCGGTGACGTCACTATTACACAGAAGTGGTTGTAGAATGAGTTGTTGATGACGTCACGGAACCGTGGATACTCTGAACACTGGTGGTGGGAGATGTGTGATGGTGAAGATGTGGGTGAAGGTGTTGAGGGTGAAGGTGTTGGGTTGGAAGATGATTGTTTTCCTCAATGTGGCCGTAATCATCTTCTGGTGTCGGTGCTGCCCGGGCCTGGAAGAGCAACATAAAATACTCTAAGATAGTATTAAAACACCGAAAAGATTATAAGTTAGCTATAGCCGTATGCAATGAGCAAGACGGATTCATGCACATATACAGCACATAGTTCAAATTTTTTGTAGTTTCGATTCATGGTTTACGTCCTTCTTTTGTAGTTAGAGCTCCTGGGGCTCTGTCGAACAAAGTTACATACAACATATTGGTTGTAAATTGTTGTGTTAAACCCTTAAACGACTCAGAAACAAATTACAATTGTTACATTATGGCACACAAACTATGGATCCTACTGCCCGGTCCGATACTTACCAGCTTCTTTCTTCCACGTCCTCTTCGCGTCCATCTTTGAATCGCTTTCACAACTTTGTATTCTCCTGTTTTCTTCCGGTACACATGATACATGATACAAACAGTCAGGAATAGGATAAGTATGATTCCGCCAAGAACAATGAGTGCAATCACCCACATCGGAAATCCACCTGTGACATCATAAAGACAATTATTATGACGCCGCATGGTGAAGGCAGCAATACTACATACTATGACGTCATTAATTCATTGTGTGACGTCATTATAGAAACCATTGTTCCAGTGTGTGACCTCATTACTGAAGCATAGGACGCCAATGTTCGAAGTGTGCGGCGTCATTAATAAAGACGATGACGTAATTTATGCATGTGTGACGTCATTGCTAAAGACTGTGATGCCGTTGTTATGTGTGTGAAGTCAATTTTTATATCGATGACATCATTATTTGAATACGTTCCGCCATAAATACAGCCCATAGCATCATTGCTAGAACGATTGACTGATACAATTTCAACAGATTTTTCTTGTTACCCAAAACCTTTCACATTACTAGAGTGCATGACTTTATTACTAGAAGGTATTCAACACTTTTATTTCAAATGTTAGATTTGTTGGTTGGAGTGATGTGGACTGATTATCTTAGTACGGAATCATTAGAGTTATAGGATTAGTGTTAAGTGATAAATCGGACCGGTTGATGATATTTATATTAATATAAATTGATGTCATAGGAAAATAAAAACCTGAAAAAGAAATCGATAATTATAATGAAATCGAATTATTCAATGCATTAAGTAAGTATACGGTATTTATACAACGCGCCTCATGAAATACTGGAGTGATTGGATAATTAATACCAGAAATGACGCGTATATTCTGCGGAGATTAGCTAAAGGTATAGAATAACTAGAAGCTTTGATGATGCTACTTTTTGGACAAAAATATTTATAACCGAATAACAGACTGGCATTTCGATATTCATAACAAAAAGGGAAGGAGAGGGTCAATAGACGAAGGTAAATTGAAAAGAGCAATCTGGATGCTGAAAATCGGAATAATTACTTAAAATTTCAAATAGTAACTGTTCTCTATTAATATATGAAATTATTGTTTCATCCGTATAAAATCCATTTCCAGAGCTTCAAATACCTTATTCTGTCAGCAAGGAGTTTTTCAGTAAATCTAAAACTTCTTAGTAGAAAAGCTCGGATTCTGACTTCATAATTTGAATTTTCAAAGTTTGAGATATTCACTTACCAGCTTCAGAAACCTCCATCTCGCATTGGTCACCAGTGTATCCCTTTTGACATTTACAATACGCTTCTCTTGCAGCAACGCCTTTATTCGTTCGTCTCAGTAAACATCCTCCACCATTCAGACATCTTTTTGGGCATTCTGGGGCGACCACGCGGTCCGGTGGCGGAATTGCTGTAAAATAGTTACAAATAAACATTTAAAAAAACTTTTCTTGGTTTCAACAAATTAAAGCTTAGTTGCATTTGCAAACAACATCCTATAGCGCAATCCGAATACAGACAACGACTATACAACGCCGTATTAGTACGACACAGTTGACCACTTATTACACACTGTCATATCAATGCATAACATAATAATATTATGTTATAACAATGTACAATGGCATCATAAACACTGACAGTCGTTGATTACCCCATGGTGTAATGGTAGCCTGCACAAGATAGCATACACGGAAGTGCTACGCATTTTTACTTGTATAAATTTGTATCGTTAGGATTTCACAATCGTATTGGTTGAATCTAACTATATTTTCACCATAGAGACGAGAATACAACGAAATGGCGTACAAGTTAGAAATGAACTGTCAGAAGGCTCAATTCCGTGAGTAATAGCCTAAGTTTAATCAAGATTTAGTAAGGATTACTAGTTGAGTAAGTGAATTAAACTGTATTTTATCTGGTTTTTTACTAATATTGACAGAACGATTAACGGTTTGGCTTTTTCCATATCTCACCCTGGGTTGTAATCGGATATGCAGTATACGAATAATTCGGCTTATCAGTCGTACTGTTCCTCGGATAAATATGAAATACTATCTAATTGCAAAACCTGGCAGGGCTAGTAACTAAAACTTAGATGGCGCCGAAAATATTCAGATGGAATTATTTGAGATGCAATGCAATGAGGAAGTAAATCTATATTCTATTTGAGAGATGTATCACTGCTTGTAACCAAGCCTAGATCGATTAATAACAACAGAACGTGCTTAAAAAGTTTACATCACGGGTTTTCAATTATGTTCTCACATTCACTTCTTCAAAAAAGTAAAATTTATTTGGTAAATTTACCCTGTTGTACAGCCTTCGAACTTTCCTCTCGCCATGATAAGTTTGAAAACAGCCAATAGTTACAATAATCAATACTTACTCTCTAGAATTCCTTTGTCTGGGCCCATCACCCCGAAATTGGGATCCATTGTAGAAACGGTGGTTGTTGATGAGGACGACTCGGGTCGCTTTGGTGTTCGAGCTGGAGTAGGAAACGCTACTGTTGTTGTGGTTGTCGTACCTGTGCAGGTTGTCGAGAATTGTCATACGCGGGATTCGAACCTTCAACCTCTAGCTTGAGGATGCTTATGATGTTAGTAATTAGCCATGCTTCAAGCAATGAGTTATATGTGCTAAATGTATCTCAGACTGTCTTAAATGTTGTCAATTATATTTAGTTACTAGGCAAAGTTGACGAACAGAATTGATACAAGAGTTGTAGCAAGAATTTTGAGGGAGAGGCCTAAAGTAACAAGGGAAATTAGACATAACGAAATTGTAACCATTGTAGTTGTACTTTGGGTCTCGGAGCGCCAAACCTCTAAGTCTTCTTTCCCTTATATGTGCTAGTGGTGAAACAGATTAGCATTTTGATCTCAGTGTGTTTTCGACAAATAGAACGTAATAGTCAGCAAATTTTAAGCCGAGCTGTAATTACAAGTATCTTGACTATTTGAAATGACAATTAAATAATATTCGAATCGGTCTGTTTTAATTTTTTGTATCTTTTTACATTCAAGCTAGCACAGTTGAAATCAACTACTGACACGCTAATGACTGCATCTAATTTTTTTATCAAAGATTCCAGGAAACGAGATAAATACATCAACAAGTTTGTAACTATTGTGTTTAACACATTTATAAATTAGCGATACCTTCTAATATACTCATCATGCATTATAACGAAATTATGAAATACTATATTATTTCATTAATCATGCAACATACAGAAACGCAAAAGCAAGCAAAAATAAGAGTGAAAACAAGTCAAAGCTAGAGTATGATACTGAATAGTTACAGTTTTCTTAGATTGTAAATTTTAGCGGTGATCGGTAGCTTATTTTTTCTTTATGTTAAAATTGGACAGCGTATGACTGAGTACTTATTGAGCAATTTTCGCATGAAAAGCGTAATTTTCGTAGAGTATAACGTATTCAAGACTAGTTTATGGGAAATAAAATAAGTAATAGTAAATGTAATAAATGTAGTAAACAGCGAGAAAGGTTAAAATTGTGATTAAAACCGAACTTCCACATTCAGAAAAACGACAACAGCGCGAAAGCGAGGAAGTTGTTTTTTCATCAAAACTGACATGTTTTCTTTCTTAATAATTTATAATTTCCAAATATATTGCCGGCATTGAGATCAAAAACCGCACGCGGGAATATATTTACTCCAAACATAATTAGAATGGCGGGGTGTTTATGAGACGTTTTACAGCCGTTTTCCGCACTGGGCTACGAAAAATCTGCTTCTCAAGCCAAGTTTATTTTTCCCAATCAGTAAAAAAACAATCACAAACATAATATGTGGAAGAAAGATAAATAAATCTATTTATTGAGAAGTGAACAAAAGCTTGGTATGAAGCAGCGCCACCCAAGGTTCTAATATTTAATCAAAAAGATCCGGAAATTTAGGTCCAGAACCACTGTTATTTATGGTTATATATTGTATGCTTTTGGCACATTATCTTACTAACATAACTTCATAGACGCCCAAAAAGTATTCAGTCCACCAAGCAACAAATAATAATTAAACAATGCTAGAATACCATAACTTTAAAGTTTGGTTTTATTGGGAGGTCAAAGATGGAATTGATTTCAATTCATAAAATTTTATATGACTCAAGCCTGCCCAACACTGCTATGAATATACAGGGTGGTCGCTAGAAAAGCAGAAAATTCAAAGGTTAGACGAGATCACGAATAAAATGCGTGTTTACTCATTACTTATCGATTTTAATTGGTAAGTATGTTGATAGATATTTGTCTGTCTGTCTGTTTGTTTGTCAGATGCACGCGATATCTCACGAAAGCGAGATTGAATCTGCTCCAGATTATGCATGTGCATTTATCTTATTTCGGACCAGAAGCCTATTGATTTTGGGCAAAATATGTCGTATAATTAGCGAGTTATTAATTAATTCGTGATGGCACAAGGTGTCACTATAGAGTAAGAGCGCTGTTTTGGGGGATCCCCTAACTTTCGATCGATAAGTCTTCGGTCTCTGACCGATATTCTCGTTTCTTATTCGATACGTTTTTATTTTCTTTAAGGTCTTAGGTTGATACTTTTCAGGTTCTATTTGATTTCTGTAATATTCTGTGTAATATAACATATGCCTTCAAAACACTTCGTAAAAGTTATTCTTTGTAAAAATAAATAATTGTTTGACAAATGTTTTACCAGTGACCACCTTGTATATATATTTTGCATTACCACCCAACACAAATACACACTCACTTAGTTCTTTGACAACTTCAACGTGGACGTGCGACTTCGATGAAACCAGATCGTATTTGGTGTAGTAACGAGTAACGTTCATAAGAAAGCATTGGTGCGTTGGCTCGAAATAACTGAACGATCTGCATTTGAAGCTGGAAAAGTTAAAATATGGTTTAAGACTGTCAATATGGTTTATTTGTACTTTCGACCTACTTGTTATATGTTATCACCAATGTTCTCTCTAAGAAAATTTTACTCAAATGCTTGTGAGTGAGTAAGAATATTTTGAGGCTGCCAAGAGTTCTAAATGATTAACAAACTTTGTGAAACATTACAATAGTATATTATATTTTAGAACACGAACAAAGTACGTGCACATTTAACTCAAATGTCTTGTCCATGTTCCGTGTTTTTCTAATGTTTATACACTTTGTCCATGTTTATTGCTGGCACGCGGTGACAATATAGGCTTGGCTCAAAACAGCCCACTCCCTGCGATTCCAGAGAAATCAAGATACTTGGACGTAACATACATGTGTAGGCCTATAACATCACAATAAACAGTGACAACCGAGATACACGTTAAAACATGGAACTGGCATTCTAGCTGCGTTGGAAAATATATATGACGGGCCACGCATTGCAAACGTAATGTTGCGAGTGCACGAAAATGAGATTTTACTCCGCAAATGGTTTGGTGGTACTGCGCAATTGCGCACCTTAGAGGGAACCTTGGTTATCAAAGTTGACCTCTTTACATAGTATTCGTACGCGACGACGTACTGTTTTTACATATTGGAGTTTTGGTTGTAACCGAGTAAGTGCCTCGCTTTTTTTCTTGTGTATTATTGCTAATGAATGGATCCTTCGCTTAAAGAACTCAATCACGAATGTAGAACAACATTTAACAAAGCCAGAAGCTAATTACAAGGAAGATACCTAACTAGATGGCAAAAAGGAAAATCACCGGCGCCCCCATTTTTTGATAGCCCACGGTGTTAAAATACAGTGAACTAAAAGTTTCCCAGCCATATTACAATTAATATACCTAAATATGACGGCAAAGAAAAGAACTGCCCGGCTCTGATGATGACCCATAGTTTTAGACAGCTAAATCGCTCTTTTATAGAAAATTAGAAATTTCCCGCCTTTTCAAAAACATCCTCATATGAGTACATACGCATCTGATTCAATGTTCCAATATGTTTTTGTTTAATAACCAACTTCGAATCACTCACATATTTGCATTGGGCATATTCCGACCCATCTACTTCACGACGCTATGAATTTAGAATGTCGATAACGCAGATAGTCATAAAACGCTATTTTTATTCTAAGTTTATAAAAGTAAAAATTTCCAATTTCTACAAGGACACTCTCACACGAGCACATTATTGAACGTTACGATATGCTTGTTTTTTCAATCAACTTCGAATTTCCCACGCGGTTGCAGGGACATATCCCGACCAATTTACTTCACAACGTCATTCAACGACGAATGAATTTTAGAATGTCGGAAACGCAAAACTATATGGGCGTAGACAACTTTTTGAGAGGGCGTGAAGCTAATTAAAAATATTTGTTAGATTTGATCTTGCACGCTTTATTCTGAATATTTGCATTTCTTCATTGTAAAGATTGCGATTGAATAAACCATACTATATGTTATTTATAGTTTATTGTTAGATTGTTAGACGCGAGACTTGACAAATTTTATAAAGGGGGCGTTTTAAAACCGGTTTTCAACCAATGAATAAAGTCCATTTTTCTACTTACCCTGTCTCATAACAACATCGCTTCTCGCATGCTTCAAACGTCGTTGCATTGTAATCTATATGATTGGGTTCTTTCACTCCGCGCAAATACATTCCCTCGAACTTGATGTAACTCATTCGGCATTCTGAAAAAAATACAAAGTGTTGTAGATGAATGCTTTTGAATTTGCGGCCGCTAAAAATAGTATATCGCTCAACATCCGGTCTCTTACACAGTGGTGATTTCGGTTCCGCCTTAGTATATGTAGGCTACCAGGTTAGGGTTAGGCCATAATTGTATTCGGAATTTACTTATTTTAGTTCTATTACGAGTTCGGGGACTTGCTAAGTGACTCCCGTAGTATTTGTACATGAAATTATGGCCTAACCTGGTACACATACTTCGGGAGTACCGATCAAATTACTATATACTGTATAAATATGGCGTATAAAATATTTCGCTCTGTTCGATCAGGGCAATAGCTTTTGAATCACAAAAATTGGATGAAAAAGAAAAGGCAAATATTCATGAAAATGACAAAAACAGACGAATCTGTTAGAATGAATCATATTTAACGATTGACGTTATGACACAACAATACCGATTATCCTCATGAATGCGATTAAGTTGTCAGTCTTTGATTTCAAACAATAAGATCCGTCGATTAATAATAGTGATAAAACAATGGAAGCATTATGACGGTAGTTTTAGTAAAAATCGCAGAAAACATCTTCAAATATTATTTATCAATGTCAGTCAGACGTCCTTTGACTCATATTTTTGGCGGTTATATCTTTCTAATAAAACTTTTGTAAGTGGAAACATTGGACTGACTTACTTTATCATAAAAGTTAATCTAGATAAATTGTGTTTGGACTATTTTTTTGACCGTTAGGATAATTTAACATAAAATATTAGTATGATTATCAAATAGAGGTAAAGAAGTCCCAAGATGTTTGGAATATTCAAAATGCAATTTCCTGACAACTTATTAGTTTTGACCAGCGTTTTTCAAACTGTGTCCCGCGAGCTTCTTTATGGTGTTCCGCGAGCTTTTTTAGTGTTCCGCGGGACAGGAATAGAAATTGCGGCTGAATTTAATTTTTACCATATGGTAAATGTTTTTGAAAATCAGCCTCTTTAATGGTAAGCTTAAAACTGGAACCCCAAAGGTTTCGATAATACGCCGGTTTTGCAAGTTGATGCACAAAGTAAATACGTTACACAATTTTTTTATTGTCAGTTTTGCTTTCTAATTTCTTGGTGTTCCGTTGGCCGGGATAAAAAGCGTAGGTGTTCCGAGGCAAAACAAGATGAGAAAAGATGGTTTAAACAGTATCATTATGAAAAGAATTTAAACATTGAATCCTTTTTAAATTATTCCGATTTTCGAATCTTCTTCGTTAAAAAGTTTTTTAATAAGTTTATCATCAACAGAAACTTTATCAGTTCAAATCATTCATTAACGCTTCAAGTGCACATAAAAATTTTAAAATAACTCCCAAAATCCAGTGAAAAATTAAACCAATTTTCTTTGAATCCACCAGACTTATTTTTCTCAAGTTCCATGTAAATTTCCCTTCTTTAACTTCCTAATAATAAACTCACTGTGTTGTTTTCCATTCTGAAATCTGATAACGGAGTTTCGTATTTTCAATTGATATTAATTTCATTTGAATTGCTTGTTTTGACCAAAAGACCCCAAAATGAGTTTCAATCCTTAAAAAAGCTATAATTTTCTTCCATTTAGTGGTAAAGTCGTGACATACTGAGGCGTCGCTGTAATTTGTATATTGAACTATTGACGACGTTGGAAATTTGCGCAAAAAGGTGATAATATGATTTCACGCTGTTTAAAATGATAAAATCGCTTCTAGACTCCTGAGACAACTGTGTGAAACGTCGTATTTATATTTTATCAATGACGAAATAGAAAATTTAAGAAGAACGAAAATAAAACAAACGGCGCTCCACAGAAGTGTGTGTACCAATATGGAGGTAACTTATTTTGTTTGCCTACTTTAAATCAAGTTGTGTAAATGGACGGAAGCCTATGGGCAGGAGGTATATTCACTTGGCTAACACAGACAGTTCCCGAACTCGTAATCGAACTAAAATTAGGAAAATCGGAATAAAGTTATGGCCCAACCCTAACCTGGTACACATACTACGGGAGTAAATGTATTTGTTTTAAACTGAAATAGAGGCCGCGAGATTTGCGAATTCTACTGAACTGAGTAAATCTCTTTAGATTGATTCTAAATAGTCATTCGTTCAGACCATTAGTTTCCAAAGTGGGGACCTTTCGAGTATAATAGTTTTAGTTGAATCTGTTATTATTTGTAGAAACTTTACTTGCATTTACGACAGTTGTACTGCCGTTAAATTATTTCAAATGCCTAAAAGAGCGTTTTTCGATGATTTTAATATTACTAATATTCATAGGAGTTGTGTATTAATGAGCTTCGGAATCGAACCAAGGTTTGCTCAATCCACACTGTCCCGTTTCCATATCTATGGTAAGCATATGTATAGAAATTCAAAATGTCGGAATTGCTTTGCTTATTTGTTTTATAAATTGTTGATCAATTAATCAATAAATTTGTTTCAATTTGTTTTTCATTTGATCAACAACTAATCATTACATTCCTGTCTTAACGTAAACATGAACAATCTAATTCCAAGGAATAAAATTGTTTCACTAAAGATCAGCAGAAACTCGTTTTATTTGAACTAACTGGGTGATGGATTCTATGTTTAATTAAGTAATTTATGTGTCTGGAGGAAACATTGCAATGAAATAGGTCAGATTCAAAAAAATATTTGATTCGATTTTGAAATCATCAGGTATTCGGAAATGTTCAGCCTTACTCGAGACCTGTAGAAAGTCTAGTACTTCAGCATAGAAAAATCCGACCTAGAAAAAATATAGCGAAACTTACTGGATTTTTTACATAGTATTGTTTATTTATCAAGTCAAGTCGAGACAAAAGAATCGCGTTATTGGAATACCACAGCTATCATATACTAACCATAAGGTATTATTCGATATTTGTAACCAGATCTTATCGCGTTTTAAAACCTCCAGGGCAACTTGGAAATTTTCCACTGTGTGATTTTTGGTAAATTTGTTCGAGGCGAGGCCAAAACATTAACGAGAAAATAAAAGTTTACAGGACCAAACCAAGACCAATAAGATACGAAGACAATGCATCAAAAACGCAATAAACACAACTGTGTGCTCAAAATAAATCAGCAAGACGCAAAACAATCACGATAAAGTACATTGGTGATGTTCGATGGTTGGATCAAAAGCTTAAAGCATATCAGACAAAATAAGCCATGTACTTTTGATATTGTAAGCTCGGGACCGCAGATTGAAAGGGCTGTAATGCTCAACACTGATACCTAAAGCTGGGCATTTCCGAATACCTGATGATTTCATCATCGAATCGAATATTTTTTTCGAATCGAATCTCGAAAACTTGGAACGTAAGATGTCCAATTGTATGTGTGACTTTTTTATTGTGATGGGTCCTTCAGACACATAAAATAATGAAAATATTGAATTTATCACTCAAACAATTCCCACACAATAAGAACCATATTTCATCAAAAGCTCACTAAAAAAAGAAGACATATATGTCATAATTGCATTTAAAAATTATGGCTTTGCAAAAAGAGTGAGGGATTTAAATTGATACAAGTTGGCGACAATTTGGAATTATCCTGAACCGATTTGAATAATTTATCATTCGATTCGAATACTAAATTTGAAATTACAAGCCCTACTGATACTGTATATATATTGAAAAACGCAGTAAACAAAAGCGGTCAGAAACGAATCAGCAACAAGTGGAAACATGACAATAAAATACATTCTCATACAGACTGACGACGCTTTCAGAGATCTGAACGTCAAGAAAACAGAATAAAAAAAATTTGTTTGTAATATTGCAAGCTCGGGGCTGTAGATCGAGATGGTTTTCATGCTCAACACTGATATAGGATACACGTAGCAAATAAAACTGAGAAGACATAAACAAATCAGTAAGACGTACAACAGTCACAACAAAATGCATTGTTTATAAGCTTGGCGTTGGCTCAAAAGGCTAAAGACTACGAACACAACACATTGATAAAGCTATATTGTTTGAGATATTGAGGACACGGGGTCGCCAGTCCAGAGCCAGATGTCATGATCATCATTGGCATTGGTTTTTCATAGTAGATTGGAGACGGACGGATAGAATCGAAAATGACTTTACCATTATATGGAAATTACCAATACTATTTTATTTCGAGCCTCCGAACGTAAATTTTTATATCTTCAGTAACATTACGACACACAGTGAAGTGCATAGTCAGGAAAACATGGTTTAGTCTTATTAATTTTCTTTGTTTATGGTTCACAAATAATGTGCGGTTTATTTCCATTAATTTGGTCGGACTTAGGCACGATTTACATAAAAACATAGAATCACGGTTTAAATGTTTTGACAAAAAGAATGTTGTTTTTGAAAATACGATAATACGGGAAATAATATTTGAAACAAAGTGAGCCTGTGAATCGATTGGGTTCATATGATAGTTGTTGTTTGGACATTGAATCACCTTTTTTTTCAAGTCCAGCAATTGAATATGGAAGTGTTTTAGACATTTTCACAAAAACAGTTTAAAAACACAATGACAAGTGAAATTTTGTATAACACGAAGTTGCCTGTAAATAGTTTGGCTGCTGTTTATATCATTGTTATTGTTTGAATATTAAATCACTTCTGCCTTTAACTACTAGATTATTTGCTTTCAAATTTGTCAGATATGCAAGCGTCTGCTAAAGTTTAATATATTCGAATTTTCTTTCCATCCCATGACACGAATTATAGAAATTGTCAATTGTTCAGACTCATTTTCCACTGAATGATTTCGAAGGAATAGCCTATAACAACATTTTAAACATACGATGTTTTATACGCTTCCTACTTCAAAATATGGCTCTCTACAAGTGATGACACCGGGATATCAGGTCGCTTAAATGTATGTTAAAGTACGGCTGTTATTAGTATTTTCATGTTTGACTTTTTCCCTCTGTATGATTTAATGTTAGACTCACTCCCTCATGGGTGACGCTGATCGATAACCATC